AATTCGAGTCAGTAGAGCTCAACAAACAGAACTACATAAAGTTTTGTCATATTCTCCTAATACCATTATTTAGGTTTTATGATGCCACACGAATTGGAAAAGTATGAATCAATCAAAAATCGATACAATAAATCGTGGGTGCCGCTCAATTGGGCGTTGAGTCTTTTTGAATATCGCGAAAGAGGAGGGACGAGTCGATTCCGAATATCTCGAATATGCTGTGGCTACGGTGAGAGAAATTTGGTAGCTAGTAGACGCAAAAATCTATTTTATATGGCTTTAAAAATATTGAATTCAGGAGATTCGTAACCTTCGAGCGAATATGATCACCATTTGGCAGCATGACTGGGTTTGACCATTGCCAGGATGCAGAACAGTTCTCCATTTCAGGTTTCGATCCCTGTTTTGTACCCGCAAGTTGTTTTTGCTGCTACTTACATCTATTTCATTTTGGCACTTTTCGCGAGGCAGTTTATCATCCCGCAAGATCAATTGAGTGGAGAGGTTTGTGGAGAGGAAAAAGATCAGATCAAGAGGAGAAAGATCAAGAGGACCAAGTGTGGTCTCTTAAAGAAAACAAACTTATCGTAATCAGAATCTATTCGTCGGCAATTTATGTGCATTTCTTTAGTCTTCGTGAACTTTCTAACTTATTTCTAACTCTTCATAACAGGTGGATCTCCATTTCCCGATCATTTCTTCAGTCACTTTCATCATTTATGTTGGATGGATGAAAGTCGCGATGGCTTTGCTGAATCCGTTTGGAGGTACTGAAAGTCTACCTACCGTAAATACTGTAATAGTACCCCGCCCCCATAATGACGGTGCGGAGCGTTACGTAGTCTAGCTTTGGACGAGTTTTTCTCGACACTGGTTTATGCTACAATGGGCGCTTAGGTATCAAAAAAATAGCCCTGAATTTCAGCTATTTTTTGATATCTAAGTGAGCATTGTAGCATAAACCAGTGTCGAGAAAAACTCGTTCAAAGCTAAACTACGCAACGCTCCGCACCGTCATTATGGGGGTGGGGTACTATTACAGTCTTTACGGTAGATAATACTGAAATTGAAACATTCAAACAAAACCGAATTTTTAGAAGACGATGATGATTTTGATTGCAACTTTTTTACTTGACAGGAATCTCACGGTATTGTTTCCAGAATTAGACTGAAAATCTTTCCTAGCTATCGCTCGGTTGTCAAGATCAATATAAGAATATCCCTGATGTAAAACCGGATCAATTTTGGGATGCGGGACAGGTTGGGAAGAAGAGAAAATGGATATCCAAATTTTAGGCTCAACCTCTTTACTCTTTGCAAGCGGCGATGAAACGAATGCATTTCTTTATGGGATCAGCGACAGCACAAGAGTAAAAATAGAAAAAAAATGTAGTGAAATGCGATTTAGATTGGATGAAAAGGGGACAAAAGAGGAAAAGAAAGAAACGATTGAGATGGTGCCGCATCCAATGAATGAGAAATATTGGAATAGGAATGAGCCGGAGTTGAGGAGAAGACGAGTGACTACGGTGGAATCGACGAGGTACCTTTGTATTGTAGTTTCACAGCTTAAAACGCATCAAAAAGGTTATGCTTTATTTTGATTCGTTCATGAACATTCTGCAAGTTAAACAGATCCCAAACTGTAGATATAATTGATTGATTTGAATCAAAAGGCTTATTAGACCAGTAAGGGCTTTACTGAAACATCAAAAAGCTATTAAAGCTATAAAGATTTCAGTTAAAAAGAAATTTCAGATCTCGATCGACCACTGGTCAATGAGCTTTCAAATAAAAAAAAGCCAATAAACTTTTTCTTTCAATTTATATTCTACACGCATTGTTCTAGAAATTGTGTGCTAAAGTGCCAACGATTAGAACGATTTGAATTGAAGGAAAGGGGTAATAAATGGGTAAACAAGAAGTTGACGAGAAAGAGAAAAAAAACAGAGAATGGAGAATGGGGGAAACTCGATTTCCCCTTGAACAACTGGAGCTGAATGAAAGTGAAGATGAGCTTCAGAGATAGGAGACAAGAAAGGAAGATTTTAAGGAAAGCACTTTACGACAAGAGCAATTCAAATTCTTGGCTAATATTACTTATTACTTTGTGCTTTCGAAGGGGATCTGTTTGGTACGGTAAGTTTCACAATTACAGTAATTTGGCATCTGCCTTGCCGTAAAGTGCTCAGTAAGCCGGTTCAGTAAGCTACTAAGCTTACTGAACCGGTTATTTGTACTAACAATTATAATTGTATTGTAGGTATTGTATTGTAAGATCGATGTTTCTAAAAGATCTTGCTAAAAGGCCTCATCGCTCTAGATTTCAGTAAAACCTCGATAACAAAAAAACTCAAGGGATTTCGAAAAACCTTTTTGTTATCGAGGTTTTTTTTGCTATTTAGGCTTTGAGGTAATGCTAAGAAATGCTCTTAAAAGTAAAAAAATATAGAAAAATGTGCTCTTTGATACTACCAATTTTTTCATTTACATAAATAAGATTAATTTCATTCAAAAGACATGTTGTCTTTATGTATGTTACATGTCTTTATGTCAAAGACATGTAAAGCAACCTTATTATAAAATCGACAGCAAACTAACTAAAAAATTGAGAACTCTTAGTTTGTTTCGTTTTTTTTTTGATTGATTGCTTTTGGAAAAATTCCTGTGGCATTAATCGTTGTTGAATCATTAACAACATTGAAAAGCGTTGAAAAGTGGTGAAGGTCTTATAAGCTTCTTTTCATATAAACTTCTTATAAGCTTCTTTTCATATAAACTTCTTATAAGCTTCTTTTCATATAAACTTCTTATAAGCTTCTTTCTCTAGATGTACTAGACTTGTCAGATTGAAAAGAAGTACGCTACTTATCGGTTTTTATTGGCAAAAGTCTATTTTAATCTTGGATTTAAAATAGACTCTTTTTACTGCTTAAAAGTCTCATTTTACTTTTTAAACTCGTTCGTTATTGATTTATTCAGGGTTTTTCAGCAAGAATTTCATTTCCATTTTGTTTTAGCTATAAAGTTAATATCTACATTAAAAAAGAAACAAAAAATTTAAATCGAAAGACAAAGGTAACATTTGTGACTTCGACTTGAAAATTTAATCAAAGGTTTTATAGAAACATTTTACGAAAAACAGATATTCAGCTATTCGACTACTCCACCCGATGAGAGGCTTTATTCCAGTAATATTTTTCTTTTCTTTTCTCCTCGCCACAATTCATGCCCGGCAAACGAATCGTTGGTTTTATTTTTAGGCTCTAAAATACAATACCGAGCAAAAGTTTTGCAACATCACTTTTCAAAAAAAACGATGAAATTTTTTTATAGAAAATGCCACCCGTTCGTAGGGCTTTTTGTTTTAATTAGAATAATACATGTACACTTTATTTACAAAAACAAATTTGAAGTTCAGCGTAAAACAAAAAAGTCAATGAAAAACTATTAAAAATACCCCTAAAAATTGGGTGCAGAAACCATCCAGGAGCCATGTGACAAAAATCACGTTGGCCCAATCCTGCTTTGTCCAACTTTGGTACGTCCTGGCGAATAGAAATCGTTGTTTCCTGTGGCCAGTGGTCATCAAAGGCCTTCGTACAGCCCTCCGGCTATACAGTTCTACTTGAGTCAATCACAAGAAAGTCAATCACGAGAAACGGTCCATCGAGAGATATCCTTGTTTCCAACATCCTTGATCAGCCGAGCTCCCTCAGTTGATGTCATTTTTGGATCCTTCTTGGAAGCCATCACGAGTGTTCGGGTCCTTCTTGGAAGCCATCACGAGTATTCGATCCTCTTTTGCTGTTGTTCTTCTTGGCCGTCCTTTCTTCTATCTTGTGCATAAGTCCAGTTGTTTTTGCTTTTGAAACAATGCGAGAAACGGTCGAAGGATTGCATTTAAAGAGATCGGAGACAACGGCTCGAGAAATTCCCTTTTTTTATTGCTTTCATGATTTTTTTTTCTTTTTCGGGATTCGTCAAGATTTCGGTACCTGGTATCTGAAAAAAACAAAAATTAGTGTAAATTAATAAATTTGAAAACAATAAAAATGAGAAACATAGAATGTTGCAAGACTTTTGCACCCAATTTTTAGGGTATTTTTAATAGTTTGTCATTGACTTTTTTGTTTTACGCTGAACTTCAATTTTGTTTTTGTAAATAAAGTGTACATGTAAACATTAAAAACAAAAAAGCCCTACGAACGGGTGGCATTTTCTATAAAAAAATTTCATCGTTTTTTTTTTGAAAAAGTGATGTTGCAAAACTTTGCTCGGTAAATTATATTGTAAATAATTTTATGGAAAAAGAAAGAAACAACAAATAGAATAAGTAGAGTAATCGATTTCTGTTTACCGTCGATTTGGTGCACGTCTGTTGACAAGTTTGGGACAGGTTGGGTTGGGTTTTAGTCTGTCAAACCAATGTTATATTCAAAAATGTCTCAAAATTTGAATTCTCCATCTATCAAAACCCTAAATAGCGTCTTTTCAACTTTATCATTTTTTAGGCCACTGTGGGGCACCGGTGGCCCACGTCGTCCCAGACGGCAGTCCACTCGGAGGTCACCGGTGGCCCACACCGTCGCCAATGTGTTAAAGACAGGCGGAATTGGGGATTTAAATTTTACTTAAAAGACAGGTGGAATGACAAAAGACGAGTAAAATGACACTCAATTATAATCTGCTTTAAGGGCTTCTAAATTTATACCTTTCGTTGATTTTTATCTCATTAACACTAGTCCAATACGAATCTCCCCACTTTACCCACTTTTAGTTTAGAAATACGAACACTTTCCCATTTCCGTTCCGAGACCGCTCCCCATTACGATGGCTTTTTGCCAAATTTTAGTAGTTTTTTAAAGGTTTACTTCATGAAAGTCACTCTGAAAGTGAAACAACGATTTTTTTCGAAATTTCAGCAAAAGAATATTTTAAAGCTTTGCTTTTTTGATAATTTTTCGCCTCTTACTAATGCATTTGTTTTAGGCACGAAGATGTCGATTAAGAACTGGACGAGAACGATTTTCAAGTTTAACGATTTGGTTGAGGTATGGCTTCATGTTTTGGTGGTAGAGTAGGTCAAACGATTGAAAATAGAGCTTAAAGTGTTGTTAAAACGATTGTATTCAAGAGCAAAGCTTTAAATTTTCTCCGTTAGCTTATTTAACTTTAGGTATCACTTTATCGCTCATCGAGAACCCGGCTTCAAGTTGCCGTCGGCAATGTGCCCGGTCCGATGGTCAAGGGCGTCATTTCGTTTGGTGAGAATAAAACATTATGCTATGTAAATAGAGCGGATTGGAAATTTTTGCTAAAATGTGCTAACCTTTTGTGTTTTTTTTGTCAGGCAGATGTCTTTTTACGGAATATTTGACAAAGCACAACATCTTACACAATTTTTGTCCGTATACTTATATTTTAGTGACCGAGGCTGACAATAATGATGGCTTGCCACACACATTGGAACATCTCGTCTTCATGGGGTCAAAGAAATACCCATACAAGGGTGTACTTGATATCATCGCCAATCGGTAACACTCATTTCCCTTAATAATTAATCAATTCTTTAGCTGTTTGGCCAGTGGTACGAATGCGTGGACCGATCAGGATCATACCGCTTATACTTTGTCAACGGTGTTTTAAAGATTCATTCCTGGATAATCAATAATTGTTCAGGTGGGAAGTGAGGGCTTCTTCAAGGTGCTGCCGATCTACTTAAATCATCTTCTGGATCCATCACTTACCGTGGGCTTCAAGTTTATTTCAAAATCTAGTTTAGAATCTATTTAGAATGAACAATTTCTCACTGAGGTTCACCATATCAACGGTCAAGGCGAAGATGGAGGAGTGGTCTATTCCGAGATGCAAGATCACGAGAGTGAGATGGAGACAATCGTTCATGTGTAAGTATACTTTTTCCACTGCAGAATTTAATCTACATTTTAGAAAGGCTCAACGCTTGCTGTATCCAGAAAATAACCCTTACGGCGTGAACACCGGGGGAGAATTGAAATACTTGCGAGAAACTTGTTCAATCGATAAGGTTTGTTTTATTCGTTGATCATTGTATAAGCTTGTATTTTAGTGCCGCGACTACCACAAGAAATTCTATCATTTACAAAACATGTTGGTCTCGGTGGCTGGAACATTTGAGCACGAGCGTTTATTGGAGATCATGTCTCAAGTAAGACTGAATAAACGTAAAAAGGCATATTTTTGTTTAGATTGAGGAAAGCTACCTTGAGAAGATACCGTCAGCTTTTGCTCAACCGTTTTCCTTCACGCTTCCGCCAATCGCACAGAATCAAGAAGTTTATATCCCTTGCCCTGCCGATGATCCAACAAGGGGAATCGTCGAGATTCATTGGTAAAGTTTTGCTTCTTAATTGTTTGCCAAAATATTAAACTAATAACGCTTGAAAAAAAATGATAATTTAAAGAACCGATTGCTTAATTTAATCAATGAGCTTTAGGTTCGGACCGAATTCTGATGAACACGAGGTTGTTACAGCTCTTCATATCTTGTTTGATTATATGGAGAATACGGCCGTATCGCCATTGCAGAAAGGTAACCGTGTATTTAGCATATCTTTCAAATATTTTTTAGATTTTGTTCTCATCTCGGACCCATTTGCTTCCAATGCTACCTTCTCTGTTAATGAACAAGTTTTTTTTATCCAAATAAACGGTTCAAATTTTTATTTAGAAGTCTTGTGTGATCACACTTTCCTTCCAAAACGTCCCCAGCAATAAAATCAGAGAAGTTGCAAAGAAGTAAGGTTATTTTAACTGGTAGTAAAACATAAATTTAGATTCTTTGACAAAACGTACAATGATCATTTGGTTGATGATGCTTTCGATTTGCCGAGGATGAACGATATTATTGAACAACACATTCTCTCAACTTTGGCTAAGGTTTATTTGGGTGTGCCCAGAAATTGATCAATTTTTAGGCGGAAAATAAGCCGCATGACGCGATCTTTGGTCATTTGATCGGCCATCAACTGTACGGTGAAAATCGAGATGATTTGCTGTTGAAGCGTTTGGATGAGGTAAAAATTAAACTATTAACTATATTAATCAAGCAAATTTAATTTTTCTATGGATAATTTAGATTGCAACTTTGCGCCGCTTGAAGAAAGAAGATGCCAGCTTTTGGGTTAACCTGTGGAAGAAGCATCTGAGTCAGCCGTATGTTCTTGTTGGTGGTCTTCCCGATGAGAAATTGGTCGATGAGGTTGTGTTTTTGCCAAGTCAACTAAATTGGGAGCGTTTTAGATCGCTGATAAAGAAACACAACGAATTGATGAACAAAAGAAGAAACTTGGCAGTGATGGGCTCAAACAGAAAGAAAAGGATCTCAATGATGCGACTAAAAAGAACACGGTACTTGCCTTATTAAAGTAAATAATCCTGCTTTGTTTAATTTAAGGAGTCGAAGCCACCACAAGTTTTATTGGATGAACTAATTGTTCAACAGCTCGAGAAGTTTGCTCGATTCAAGATTGATTCATTGGTTAGTTCAAAAAAAGTTTGGTAATCCAATCATTGTTTAGGAAGTGTCAAAAGAAAGCACAAAAATACGACCTCGAGAAACTCCCGCTCGCAACTATGCTCCACTTCACAGAACCGAAATTTTTCCAGGTTTTGATCATAAAATCAACCGGCCCAATGAGTTTTTAGATGTATCTTCTGCTTGATACGCTCAAGCTATCAGATGAACAAAAGAAGTGGTGGGTGTTATTGGATGAATTATATGTATGAGATTGGCACATGCACAACTGTCACTTGTCTGTTATTTCTTGCTCTTTGTCCGTCGTCTAATCTTTTATGCGTCAATAAATGCTCTTGACTGACTCTTTAATTACGTGGCTATTGCATCGTTTTGATATCTGATTCTAAGAATAGTCTAAGGCTAGGTGTTTACTGTTGCTTTGGGCGATGAACTGTTTGGTCGACTTATTCTCCGACAACGAGGAAGAGCCCCAATCGAGAAGCCAATTGAGATGTCGTTCACCGATCGCCCATCGACTTCTCTTCATTTCGAGTGCGAAAAGATCATCGCCGAGAAGGATAAGACGATCGAAAAGTTGATGGAGAGGATCACCGAACTGGAGACGGAAAATCGCCGATTAAAAGCACAGAGAGCACAAAAGGCCGAGAAGCACGCCGCAACGAAAGGAAAGGGATATCTCTACGCAATTTTCCCCCTTCCAACCAAAGGATTTCCCAAGAAGGTCAAAGATTAGACGATCTGGTACTGTGGAAGAGCGTCGTGGCGACAATTCCCCCCTCAGACGCAAAACTTACTTAAGCATTGGCTGAAGTTGTGCTTGAATTGTGAAAACGTTCAACGACAATGTGTCATCGTTCAAGATCAAAAAAAACAGAATGAATTACACATCTTCGCGGCGGAATAGCTGCGCAAGGGTGCCCGAGTTTTATTCGTCAACCTGTTCTTTGGTCTCTCTCCCGATGCTCACGCACATATGGAGTCTTCAATCTTCGATTTGTTAATCCTCGAATTCAACCCAACCCGAAGAGCGACAATCCGTTTTCCACTCTGAGCAAGCTGGGGGAGTTGTCCTTGGTGACCGATCATACGGGAAATTTCTGCTTCATCGACTTCATGAGCAATTCTTACGGGGCCCATCCACTAGCGTGGACGTGGACTCTCTTCTTTCTAAGAGGAAATCAAATGGGTACCGTGCCAACCGAAAATCGAAGGAAATAGCTCGACGGCGAAATGCAAAAATGGTTTGAGATTTCCGTCAAGGCCAGCATCAGCGATTTGAGGGAGCTAAGCAAGAAGAAGTTGCCAAAAACCGTGGTAAGATGTTTGGTGGTATTCGTTTTCTATCTCGTTCGGTCACCGATTACGTTCCCGAGTCTGGGACTGCCAAGGATGCAAAGGTTTTCTGTTGACTATATTATCTATAACCCTGCATATTATTGTGTTTGTGATGTTTGTTTTTGAATGATAATAGTTGTGCATGTGTTAGGGTTATTAATTAATAACTCTGTTGTTTTTATTTACTTTTTTACTAACAGATAATTTCAGGCTGATGTTATTCACCGAGTTGATGTTCGACTCTCACACTTATGTTGATGGTAAAGCCTTTTTTATCTGATTCAACTTTCAGGAAAAAAACACTAATGGATTTAAATTTCAATCTTGTGATTTTTTTTTTTTTTTTTTTTTTCCTGCATTTTATTTATTTAGGTCAATTGTGGTCGGCTGAGGATATGGCCAAGATGTTCACAAAAGATCTTGTGGGACATTCAGTATCGATGGGCATTAGCGGATATTGCTGATCGTTTGGTTACGCTTAATTTAAAGGTAGACTTTTTATATTAGCTCATAAACATCTTCTCAGGTTGATTCGGCGCGCTTCTCGAACTTGGCAAAATGGGGGAGAGATCTTCACAAAGGGAATCCATTATGACGCAAAGAGGTGGAGTAAGTTGAGAATGGTTTGTTTGACGTTTTCTTTTCAGAATCAAGATGATTGCTCAAAGATTGGCTTCACTTGCACGGTAAGAATCATTTGTCGCCGGCGTGATTAACCAATAAACTTCTTTAAGAGAGAGCAAACGGGATGGAGTTGAGGTAAGCAGTCTTCGCCTGATTGCCAGTCATTGCTAACAGAAAGGTTAATAATATATCCGAAACATTTAAAAGTACTCGAGTTTAGGGTCTACCACATCTTTGTACGACACGAGTGTATTGGAAAGTTTCACGAACGCGTCGTTGAACTCCGTGATTCAATCCAGATCTTGTTGCCAGCAAGTTGAACGAGGCATGCTTTGATTGCTAAACGATGTAACATTAAATCAGTTCAGCTTCGATCAGTCCTTTGGATGGCGGTGTAAATATTCATCTTGTGGGCGACACGAGCACTCTAACAACACCAAATCTGCCAATTTGGGAGTCATTTAAGAAGGATAATGCCAGCTTTTTCAATGTATCTACTTTAAGTTGAACTACCTAAATTCTCTTTTTAGGTTCCAATGGGTGAATCAGTTATTTGTGGTAAACAACCAGAGGAGCGCAATGTTGTGATTGGAGTTGGCGGGCAGTGAAAGTAGCTTTATACTACCAAGTAAGTTTGCATGTATTTAGCATTTTGGGCATAACGAAATTTAGACTGCTGTGACTGGTGTTGACTGGCTAAGCCCCGAACTTGTCCCGATTATGTTGTTGACGCACATATCTCAGCCAAACAGAAGGTTTGCGTAGTTTGTTAGTTGCTAATCTTTAAATGTGTTTAGGACCACTTTGGAGGCTGTGCGTGGAGACGGTCTAGCCTATGGTGCTGGACATCTACACAAAGCCTGATCGGCCAAAACAGTTACACTGTCACTTTACCGATGTGCAGATCCCGTTAAGGAATATGAACGAACCAAGGAAGTTGTGGTAAGTGTTTGTGGGAACAACCAAACCCCTATATTATTCTGAAACATGTCATAGATCTGTATTTTTAGGAGGGAGCCATCGCTGCTGGGAAGTTAGACAAGAACGAGTTCCGAAGCGGCAAAGCGATCGCTAATTTTTGAGTTGATCCAGAAAGAAGATGGTATTTCGAATTCGGCACGCGAACGTGATTCTCGGGCAATTCCCTGAACTGGCGATGCAAAGTTTATCAAGTATGGTTTTCAGTGATAATTGATAATTTATGAACATTTTAGTGACCTTTGCTCAAAGCTCTGGGATGCTTCAGTGAAGGATGTGCTTGATATTGGAGGGCCAATCATTTCAAAGTTGTTCAAGGAGTAGGTTTTACAGTTTTTAAATTTTAGCGAAGTTGATTGCATCATTGCACAATGGAACATCTTTTTTGTTATTCTCGGGCCGTGACGATCCATCCATCGAAGGTGAAGAATATTCGAAAGCACTTCGGGAACATCGTTGAGCGACCAATCTCCTCGTTGAGTGTCAAGCCCGATTTTTAAAAGGGATCTTCAGTCATTTAACGCGGGTAAATCTATCCTCTGTGTGTGTTTTTCTCAGATACGGTTTTCGATGTTTGTTAAGATTTTATCAATTTTAAGCTACCCAAGTTTGTTTGCTTTGCGTTTTTAGAATAAATTTCCTCATTAAAATAGCATTTATGTACAGGCACATTTCGAGGTCATTGCTAGCGAATAGAGAGCTCGCTTTTGTCGATCACAATTACAGGGATTTTACTCGGATGGTGCTCGAGTGTGTAAACAGTTGTGCGACGTTTTGGAATCCGATTTTTCCGCCGCCAGAAAATTATCCATCCAATGATGGCTCTTCGATATGGTTGGATGTAGAACATTGTTAGAAGAGGACTCAAACAGCTCGTGATTGTCACACTCAACATTGGCCATTCATCGTAGTATGGAACGTATTCGTAGTAACTGAAATTTTGAGATGGAAGCAATTCTTTCCGATAATGTGTTTCTTAAAACGTGTCAACTTCCGGAAGCTATCGTAATCTTGCTTCTTTTCTTGAACAGACTTACGGTAGCATGAATTGCTTGTAGTTGTACGCGGCGGCCATTGTCATCGGGAAAATTGGGAAAATCGATTGAATGGTCAAACTCTGGAATGATGAGGTAAACAGTTTGATAAGTTTTTTAAAAATTTAACTATGTATAAGATTTCCTATTAGTTTCATATTCAAAACAGGTTTTGTCTTTAACAAACCCGAACGATTTTCGCTTGTGCTTTCCGGGTTTTCTCGCACATCGCCGTTCGCCGAATGTCGATGAGAAATTTTCGGCGAAAATAAATCGACATTGCATAACAGGGAAAGACGGGACAGGTTGTCCAAAGGGTTAAACAGATCACACTGAAATGAAATTTGGTTTATTAAAAAAAAACATAAAAATCACCGATAATCGAAAACCGTCTCGAAGCCACCGATGGCGATTCTTGAGCGATCCGTGGTCGACATCGAGAAATTCGCTTGTCGCCAAATTTCCAAAACTTTGCTTTCTGGGGCCGGATTGCTGAGAAATAATAGCTGAATATCGATTTTTGATTTAATTTTATTTTTTGTATTACTAAAGTGAAGAAAGCTGGGGCGTAGATGAGAAGACAAAAGACGGCGATACGGAAAGGATTCCGCGGTGGATGATGGAGCACTTGGTAACGGAACCTGTAATGCTTTGTACCTGGAGGTCTTGATTTTTGATTCAGATTTCAGGTTTCTTGTTTAAAAGTTTATTTTAAAACAATTCACCGCGTTTTTTGATTTGAAAACTGATTTTTTTGGCTTTATAGAACTTTGATTAGAGACAAAAGCGAAAGCAATGATTATGCCGGTAAAATTCTTGGAATGCCAAGGCAATAATTTTGTTTTTATCAAAAGTTTATTTCTGAAAACTGACCAGAATAGAAATGGGTAAACCGAGTAGACAAAAGAAGTGCTGTGGATTGAGATAGCGTGTGCTGGAAATGATCTTTTTTGACCCATTTTCTGACAAGAAGATTTGCTCTTCTTTGTGTACTTTGTGCTCAATTAAGTAAACGCATCCTGCACTTGTTTCTTGATTTTTCGTGCGAAAACGAGCTTTCTATCAGTGGAAAAGTGAAGAATTCAGTGCGCCAGAAGGGGTGCTTTTACGTTTACATAAAAGCACGAATTCAAAGCTGATCGGATGAGTGAAGGGTTAGGGGATTTTGCTCCGAAAAGTGTTCAACGATGAGCTTTTGAGAGGGTGACTTGGTTTAAAAGACTCAAAATGTGAAAGTAGAACACTTTTCAGAGCACCTCACTCATTAATGAATTACCATTAATGAATGAGGGATGTCCATTCATGAATGGTAATTCATTAATGAATGAGGGAAAACGAAAACGTCTCTGAAAAGTGTTCTACTTTCACATTTTGAGTCTTCTAAACAAAAAACTTTTAAACCTCTTTCTTTTTAAAGTCTTTTAAACCATTCACTGAAATCGACCAATGACTTTTACGCGTACAATTACATTCCAAAATTTGTCCAGTAATTTTGTAGACTTTCTTAAACTTTACTTTGCTACGGATTTACTAATTTTGACAGACGAATTCGAAGCAACGAAATCAAAAGCTCAAAAGAAAAAGAACAGGTGACTTTTACGCGTAAAAATTACAATTAAATTTGTTAATTAAAATTTGAACTATTTGCTCATATTGTCGTGCTCCAGTGAACACAAAAGCAATGGCTAATTGAATAAAAACTTACGACTTAAATACGGTATTTTTCTAGGTGCCTTTTAGAAAAGACATCCTCTGTTCAAATTCTTTTCTTTCTTTTCATCTTTTCCCAATCATTCTCACTCACCAGTACAAATGGACCTTTTGTAGAAAACGAGTCAATCCCACGTCTTAACAAATAGCTTTTGTTTTTTTAAAGCTTGAAATAGCATTGTATTCACGTTTTAGAAAACAAGAGCCGTTTGCTAAAACGTGAAACTCTGACTCTAGCCCGGCCTTTGAAGGATTGCTAAAACCAGGATTGTTTATAAAAACAGCTCTGAACAAAACTGATCTAACCAGTGGAATTAGCTTTAAACCTAAACCAATTTCTAGCTAGATGGCGTGGCTTACAAGCTCTAAGACCCGGTTGGAACATTCCTGGTGGCTTGAGATTTAGCTTTGTTTTTTAAAGCTTGAAATAGCATTGTATTCACGTTTTAGAAAACAAGAGCTGTTTGCTGACTGTTTTGCTGAAGAACTGACTCGTTTTCTACAAAAGCTTATGTCTACCCACCAGTTAGACAAGCGAAAGAGCCAAAATGACGGCATAATCCGCGGAATTCAAAAAGTGAGACTGTGCTTGATGGGAATGATTCTAAAATTTCGAAACTTTCGTCTAGATAACAGAGTTTTTTTAAAGTCTGTGTACTGTAGTGAGCTTTACAGTGACTACCGTAGCTACACTTGGGAATTCGGGGTACTGTAGCTAGGGTATGAAAAAGTATACTTTAGAGAGGACGGAAAATAGACAACAATACTTATTTGAATACCTAAGTACGGTAATTACTATAATAGTTTAATTTGAAAGTTTCTTTTCTCTTTCGAACCTTGTCATCGAGAGCTCACAAGAGATCCCGACAATCAACTCGGAAATAGCGATACTGAAAGAGGAATTTGAAGTAAAAATATTTCCCAAATTTCATACCTGAACAATAAAACAGCATAACTTCGAAAGGATTTCGAAGTTTTCGTCAGAATTAAAAAAAATGAGAAAACCGTTGAAGAGACAAGAGAAAAAATCGCTCGAAATATGCACAATTTGGTAGAAATCGACGCGGAAATCGGTGATTTCATACATCTGAAAATAAAAGGAAAATCAGTATGCAAAGAGGTGAGAGTTTAGAAGGATTTGCAAAAAGAACCAAAATTTCTGAGACTTATACAGAGAGTGTGGTAAAGTATTGGGTTGGTGAATTGAAAACTGCCGGACTTTGAACTAAAATTTGAACATAAAACCATGAATTCATTCCAAATAATTTCCATAATTATTGACGACTTCTGCTCATTTTACAGGCAATTTGCGGATTCCTCTCTTCTTCGTAGGATTTTGGTTTGTGTGTGAGACAAGTGTGAGACTCAAAAATCGAGGATTGGAGATGCCCCAGTTCGAGGTTTGAGCACTTTCTTCAAAAGAAACCCATTAAGATAGAGGCTAGTTGTTGATGGACACTTGTTCTCCGCAAACATTCTAGCCTATCGAATTTCTTGCATCTATTATGTAAGATTGTTTTTATTGGTTTGACCAACATGGAAACTTTTGCTCATAAAAAATGAAGAAGTAAGAATCGATTTCTAACTTCAAAGAGTTATCTAATAAAAGAAATGATCTGGATTTGAATTCAATTTTTTAGAGTTACTCAGAAACAATCAGAGAAGCCTTGATTAACGTTTGAAATTGTTCTGAAATTGAATCAAACATTCTATTAGGTTGGTGAATTGAAAACTGCTGGACTTTGAACTAAAATTTATTTGAACATAAAACCATGAATTCATTCGAAATAATCTCCATTATTGTTGACGACTTCTGCCCATTTTACAGGCAATTTGCGGATTCCTCTTTCGTAGTAGGATTTTGGTTTGTGTGCGAGACAAGTGTGAGACTCAAAAATGGAGGACTGGAGATGTCCCATTTTTGAGCACTTCTTCAAAAGAAACCCATTTTGGTGTCAATAAAACAGTTGTAGAGAATCAAAAATGAGGCTTATAGCCAAATTTCCAAAAAGATACACTTAGTAGTTTCGTTTAAAATGCAAGTTTTGTGAAAATTCGTAAATTTGGCATTTCTTGAAAACCAGTTTTTGAATCGTTCTGAAAATTTGGATATAAGCTTGATTTTCGATTCTCTACAAGTTTTCCATTGACACCAAAATGGGTTTCTTTTGGAGAAAGTGCTCAAACTGTCACATATGACAATAGCCGGCAGTTCTCAATTCACCAATCCAATAGAAGCAGAAGACAGTGAAATGGTGTTTACTAGGAGGTGAGCGTTTAGAGGAATTCAAAACAATAATCAGCATTCATTTAGTTCAATTTGTAAACTTTTACACTTGAAAATAATCTAGAGAATTTGATGAAAGAAAAAAAAAACAAGATTTTTGAAGAAATTGCTTTTGGAAGTGAAAAGGGGATAATTATTGGGGATCGTTTTGAGGGGATCTTTTTGAATTGGAGAACAATGGGTTTAAAGAACGCATTCAAACAGATCTACGTATTGTCTTTTTAAATGAATATTTCTTGGTCCAGAGTATCTTTATAGTTTAGAACTAACTTTAGAACTTAGAACTTAGAACTTTAGAACTTAGAACTACAGGGTACTTTTCGGTTATACTCCCGAGCCACTCAAACAAATGTTTCCTTGCTAAGTGGCTAATCGGAGAACCGAGATGCTCGTTGACAAGATTTTGAAATTTATCACCCAGATCGATTATTTGCAGGTTACCGGCGTTAAAGACCTCTGCCCAAGTGACATCAAGCTAGGCTAAATTCACCCAGACTTTTGTGAATTTAGCCTAGCTTGATGTCACTTGGGCAGAGGGCTTTAACGTCAAAAACCTTTGCCAAACTGACATCAGGCTAGGCTAAATTCACAGATACACGCATTGATTGAAAAACAGCGCTAACCGCATAGTACCGTTTTTTAAAATTTTGGATTGGCGGGGTATAACCGAAATTTGGAGATGACTAGGTTATAACCGAAAAGTACTCAAAAAAGAGACTCAAAAAGAGAAAAAGAGTCACGGGAGAATTTTTGTGGGAATTTTCTTGTACCCAGCACAAGGAACGAGTTTGCAGAAAGATTCAGTAAAAAAAGAGATTTGTTATTTAATAGGTAATCATGGATCAAATTGTCTATACAATTCAGGAATTTGTTAAAAAAGTAAAAGCTATTTGAAAAGTAATCATTTTGGAAGAAGTTCTTGGAAATATTATCTTAGAAATCTCAGCTTTTACATTTTATGATTAACTTTTTTTTGGAACTTTTGGGAAGTTGAAATGGAAGAAATGGTTTCGTTATGTGAAAAGCATTGAGTTAAATTCGATTTTTTCTAAGTTTACGTTCTTTTGACTCGGAATTTATCAAAAGAATTTCTTCAAAATTTCACCTTCACTATTTCTACTGTATTTTGCAAACAATTTCAAGTCTAAAGGCTTTTTATTTCTTTTGGAATCAGTTTTTGATTGAAAATACTCACAAAAATTGAGTTTCCTTGATTGAAAAGCTGATTATTATATAACTTTTTATTAGAAAATCATAAAAGTGCGTTTTGTTACTTATTCATTTTAGAGATTCTAAAAAATCGCAAAAAGATTTGTTTGCCAATCAAATAATCAAATAAATACGAATGATTAAATCTCAAGAGAATCTCTAATCTTTGATTCTCGTGCAATAAAACATTAGTCAGTTGAGTTGCTTTATTTGATCAACACTGATTCGCCGTTAGATTGAATTTTAGTGACGAAAATGTTTCTTCTTTACTCTCACGTGAAATTTTTCGTATTTCAAAAAGGTAAAAGTTATTAGATTCAAATAAAATTTCATTTGCTTGAGTTGTTTTGAGCTGGAAAAGGATTGACGATCAAGTTTAGGTTTAGCTTCAAAAGGCTTAAAAGCTTTAGCTTAAAAACAAGTCACTTTTGAAAAGAAACTTGATTAAAATGGAAACGATAGGTACTGAAAAGTACAAACGTTTTACTGTAGTCTGTTTTACTACGATACACCGGAATGACTAGATAGAGTGACTAGATAAGTTGACTAGATACAGTACTGAACAATGAAATATGATATTTGAAAAACGATCGTCACTTTCGCGCGTCTGTAACTCCCTTGTCTTTGAGTTTAAACTATTAGTGTTCTACATTTTCTGAAAGCACTTTTCAATGGCTACACAATGGTAATACTAATATTTAGAAATACGGTAAAGACAAAGGAGTTACAGACGCACGAAAGTGACGATCTTTTTCAAATATCATATTTCATTGTCCAGAAGTGTATCTTTTCAATTTGAAAAGTCTTTATCCTTAAGAAAATTTTTCGTCTTTTTCATCTGTCATATTATAATGGGACAAAAGATAGAAAAAAAAAGATAAAATCAACTGTGTTTATGGTTTTTAACAGTAATATGAATATAAGATTATTATAGAAATAAGAAAAGTAAATATTAGGTTGTTCGGATATAAACGAGCGCTTGCACTGCTTAACTCGTGAGGAAGCCATTTCCCGCATCAGATCGTCTTTCCAATGGCGTGGAGATGCTCATCAATAGTAGAATTTGAACATAGAAACTGTTGAGCAAGTTCACGCGTCGTTTGACATGGATCCGATTTGATTGCAGCCCTCAAAGTATCGTTGTCTACCGCTTGAGGTCGACCAGAGTCTTCATCATCCTCGAGACTTTCATCATCATTCCGAAAGCGTTGGAACCAGGCTCGGCATCGGCTTTCGAACAACACATCATTCCCAAATGCTTTGACCAAATCTCAATGGGATTCCGGTACTGTTTTGCCCAGTTTGAAATCGTAAAGTAGGCAAACGCGAACTTGATATTTGAAGTCGATCATCTAAAGCAAGAAAAAAAGATTCCAAATATACACAGGATAACGTACTTTTTAAATACAGAAAGACATGTTTTAAAAGCTTCTCTCACAACAATAAGTTTAGCAACGCTTGTTTGTATCCGAACAATCTAATAGATTTGAGCAATTGATGAAAGGCTAAATTGGAGATACAGAAAAGAAAGAATAACTTGCAAATCATCCAGTTTAAGCAAAAAGTTTCAGCTCTAATGGAATGAGACAAAGACGCGAGATTTACAGAACTGTAGAAATAAATAAATTTCCAAAAACTCATCAAACACCATGCTTAGATTCGATTCGTTGAAGAAATTTGTGCTCTGAGCTCTTGTTCCGTGTCCTTTCTAAATTGAAACCTAATTGCCATCTTTTTCTGATCGAAATTACGTGTTATCGAACAAAAATAACTGTTTCAGGTACGAAAGAGAAAAAAAAGAATAAATGATTCTCCGAGAAAATCTAATATGATCGAAGAACTTTTGGGTGAAAAGAAAATTCTCAGAAATACTCAAAAGTAAGCATGGTTTTCGAGAATCATTCAAAATTAGATGCACCTGTTTGTTTCTGGGAAAACAAAAGATATTGTGAAAGTATTTATAAGGAAAATTGAGAATTTAGTGAGAAGGGGATACTGTAAAATTACAGTATGCATCAAATAACATTTCTACTTTTTAGAAAATTTATAGGAAATGAGTTTTGATTGAGATTCAGAAGAGAAGATTTTTACAGTAGACCGGGATCAAGTATTCAGCGACTGGATTTCAGTCTGAATATCTTTGCTTCAAGGAAAAGATATTCAGTAAAGAAAGCACTCAAAACCAGTAGACTAGTCGGATAGTTTTGCGTTTCTTTGAATTGTTGAAATGATCGAAAATCATAAAAAAACACCTGTAGCCAGTGTCCGTTTCTGGTAAATAACCTTGCTGAGTGTTTGACCTTATTCGCTCAGAGTTTCTTGAAAATGTAAACTTTGGCAGTTGAGGGCAATTGATAGTGCTATGATGGTGGTGGTGGTGATGATGATAAGGGGTTGTGAAATTCGAAAATTCTCAAAGTTCAAAAGATGTCCGCTTAAAATATAATGACAGATAACGTTAAAAAAGACAAAGTTTAAACGTGTTTATGTCCGAAATCCTAATCCTAACTCCAGTTGGATTTTGAAATTCTATCTAAATTTGAATTAAAACAAAATTCACTGTAAACACAGCATTTTCAGTGAGACTTCAAGTACTCAAGATTAGAAGATTGCTCGGGTAGTTTCTTTGAATTGTTTACTTACGCATAAATTTTAAAAAACACCTGTTAGAAGTAGGCATTTTCTACGGTAAATAACACCTCTAAAGTTACTGTAGGTGACCTTTCTAATCTTATTGCCATTTGATAAAGACTACTCAATGTTATTGAAGTTTCTTTGAAAGTCCGCGTAATTTCATACTCCCCAACTCAATAGTTTCTTTGAAATCTAAACAAGAATCAAAGGCTCAAATTATGAAATCAAAATAATTTTTGGTTTCTTCGCCGAAACATTTTACTGACAAAAGATGACAAATAAAAGTTTCTTGACTATAAATGCGTAACTCTTCTCTGATAATGATTCAAAATTTAGCGTTTTTCCCCGAAGAAATTTCTAGAACTGAATGTCGAATCGGGCGCGAAGTCATGCTCGAAAAGCCACACCTCGCCGCAAAAATCGAGGCGTAAAATTGATAAGAAAATAGCTGAAAAAATAGCCGCTCAGATTGTGCAGAGATTTCTCATTTTGAGATTTTCAATTGATCACTTATTCATAATGTTTACATCTTCACCGTCATCATCTTCCTCGAGAAGTTTCCGCCAAGGTTACGAGTTTCTAAATTCTAAGGGATTACATTAATTCATAGAAATAAAGGAGTTGAAATCAATATCGTAAAGTGACTTTTAAATCGTTAATCGGCCAATATTACGTACGAATATTTTTTCAGTCGTCAAGGTGATTGCTGACTTTGACAAAGAAGTATCAGAGATTTTGGAACATCGCTTGTTGCACCTTGAAATCGATGATCTGATTCAATTGACCGAAGAACGGTAGTGTGATGTTGTTGAGCAAATTTTGCAATTTGATGTCCATTCTACAGTGGTGGAAAAAAGTATTGAGCCCCCAGACTATTTTTACTTTTTGCTTCAAAAAAAGTTCCTATCGAAAGCTTTTTGAACACGTTCTAAATTTCTAAAAACTAGAAAAACTAAGCTTCGTAATGTTTTAAGAACTTTTGAATTGAAAAGTTGATTTAACAAGAAAAAAACATATGTACACAATATTTGCAAAAAGCGGCGGAAAAAGTATTGAGCTCTTATCGAAAAAAAGAAGAATTCAATATTTTGTTGAGTCACCTTAGGTTTTAATGATTGCTTCCATTCATCTCGGCATACTTTCGATTAATTCGTTGAGAGTAGACATTGGAATTCCATTCCAAATCTCTTGCACTTTATTCCAAAGATCCTTCCATGAGAAAAAAATTTCGTTTCATGTGGGCCCATAAGTGCTCAATAGGGTTGCAATCAGGAAAATATGGCGAAGTTTTCAGCAGACAAATGCTATTGATGCAAAGCCAGCCCGGAAGACGAACAAAGTGACGATTTGATATCTTCGCTTTTCGGTTCATTATCAAACCGCTTGTGTATTTTGGGTCGTTGTCTTGTTGAAAGAGCCACGCCGGACCCATATTTTTGCTAGCGTGAGAGAGCATTGATTCCGTTAATATTTCAGCACATTTGAGTCCATCCATAATTCCGTCGATAAGAACGAGACCCGATCGACTGAGATGAGAAACATCACCAAAATATTATGTCCCTCCATTAAATTTCACGGTCGGAATGGTGCACCTCAACTTGTATCATGCCTCAATCGATCTTTTGATTACATAGAAGCCATTTGAGTTGAAAATATTGGATTTTTTTTCGTCACTGAAAAGCATGTGCTTCCAGGTCTCAATTGTCCAGTGTTGATGCTCCAAAGCGAATTGTAGATGAGCCATTCGGTGCCGTTGAATCATTAACGGCTTTTGTGCCGGCCTTCTCGGGTACAATCCAAACGTTTTAAGTCGATTCCTCACTGTTCTCGCTGTTAGATTGACGTTCAACCTGCGCTTTAGAAACTTCTTTCCATCGGTGGCAGTGAGTGTCGGCGTCAAAACGTGAAGCTCCTAGAGGATTCAATCCTGTTGCTCTGTAGTTTTTGATAGGCGGCCACTTCCTGTGCACGTTTCCCTCCTCACGGAATTGTTTTCATAGCCGCTACATTCGTTGCATTTGAGACTTGAAACAGACTTTTCACCATCTTCTTTTTGATCCCCATTTGTCGGGCTCAAACGATGTGCTCCTTTGTCGGCGCGTCGATCTCCCATTCGTGAACCATCACTAAAGAAAATAGTATTGGGTTGGGGAGAATGAGTCGGCGCCAAACTTTAAAGGGACTTTTTGCACACATAAAGCCTTCTTTAAACATACGTTTGGTTTCATCAAAAGGATCCACTATTTCTCTACAAAATCACTTTTGAGAGATTCCACAAAGCTTTTCTTTCGTGGAGTTTATGAACTTCCAAACGCAGCTGGTTAAAATGGCAAAGAGTCCGACTCATCATTTGAACAGTTTCTTTCACATAAACCTTCTTTGGTGTTTATATAAAAAAGATAGAGCACATTGAATTACTTAAGTTGCCAAATTTGCAGGAAGATCCCACCAATGGTTTTTTCTAGATCACAGTTTGTAGTTTTTGTGAAAAAATGGCTTTTTCTTGAGCGGAGGCGCTGTTTGAATTTTCTTTTAAATGTGATTTTGTAGAGAATTAGTTAACCATTCTATGAGTATCAAACGCATATTATTTGACGAAGTCGAATTGAAGTTTTAGACATTTTTTTCATTTTCGGCGCCGACTCATTCTCCCCAACCCAATATTAGAAAATAGTATCTCGTTAAATCAACTTTTCAATTCAAAAGTTTTTATAACATTACGAAGCTTAGTTTTTCGTTTCTAGAAATTTAGAACGGATTCAAAAAGCTTTCGATAGAAACTTTTTTTGAAGCAGAAAGTAAAAACAGTCTTAAAAAAACTACTACTTTAAAAAAAAAAAGTATTGAGGCCCCAGCTCAATACTTTTTTCACCACTGTATTTCAGCGATGAGAATTGGTGCAAAGGTGTTCATATGAAAACGAAAAACGAAGGCTTTGTCCACACAAAATGCATCAAGGCCGTTTTGACTCGAGATTTGGATGAGAGGTTAAGATTAGAGTTGTTTCTCCCAACTAATATCGTTTTCTAAATAGTGTCAACTTTCAAAAACTATCGTAACCTTGTCGTTTCGGTCCACTTTTTTTCAACGAAAAACAATTTATTTCAACATTTCATGCATCGAATATTGTTTTTTATTCATTTTTACGATGGAGACATTTGTTCTTTTTTAGAACTTAGAACTTTTAGAACTTCGTGCATTTCCAAGTCAATCACAAGTACAATTTCTTGAACCCGGACGATCCAGATGTGCACACGCAAACATGCGAGAGAATGTGGGGATCGGCGAAATGGCGCAACAAGAAGAACTGCTCGTTATCATCTCAAATCGTATTTGGCCCATTTCATGTGGTGAGAATACATCGGCAAAGAAGACCCCTTCGAAGCTATTCTACAAGCAATCGAAGACTGCCGGCCTCCAGTCACGTCCTGAGTCTAAAATAGATATTCTCCATACTTAAATGATTTTAATGTTGTTTTTTATTGTTTAAAATGTTGAAATAAATTGTTTTTCGTTGAAAAAAAAGTGGACCGGGATAAGGGATAAGTACCCAAACTTTTAAAAAAGTTGCGTTTTTCTGAGTACAGATGGTTTCATCCGATCGAGCGAGTTGAGACAAAAATTTGCTTATTGAGCCGAAAAAATCTTCCCAACGGAGCCTTTCTTGTTGGACGATCGCAACGCTGTGATGGCTTCATTTTGAGCACAAAGTGACTAAAAACTGGATCAATTTATAATTTCAAAACTTCCAGATCAAGTGACAAACATGTTGACTATTGGAAAATCCATGTAAAAAAGGGACCCGAATGGAAATTACACTATTTTCTTAAAGAGGGTGAATGGTTTGAAACGGTCGAACACTTGCTAAACTTTTATCAAAATGGTTTGTTTAGTAGTTGATTGATAATTGGCAATTTTAGCGCCTTTACCAAAAGAGATCGGGCAATCGAATATTTTGACTTTACCGGTTCAAGTGTCGACATGGAATCAAGAGATGCGACCGGATCTCGGTCAACTGTGGAGAATCAAATATGAACACTTGAGCATCATGAAGAAGGAAAATGAAGGACATTATGGAGAAGTGCTGCTAATTTGATAAGATTCTTAATGTTAGACTTATAACTAAGTTACCGTAATTATCCTAATAAAAGACACGTCTTTAATTTTTTTGATTGAGTTCTAGATGCGTCTTTTATTATTATTTCATTAATTCGTGCTTAGGTACCAAAGTAGTTAATTGAATAAATTTGTTACTTACATACCTTTATTGAAATATTGGTTACAAAACCTAGTAACAAAAGGTTTTGAAACCAATATTTCAATAAAGGTATGTAAGTAACAAATTTATTCAATTAACTACTTTGGTACCTAAGCAGGAATTAATGAAATAATAATAAAAGACGCATCCAGATCATTGTAAAAAAACAACAGTAAATTTGTTACAACAAAACAAGCAAAAAAGCAACATTGTTCAATTTAAGTTGCAAAATGCTTTCATCTAAATTTTCTTTGTTGATATCATCCCCAAGGCCTTCGTTTTCTATTAGGTTGCAAAGAAAGTTCTCGGACAAAGTTTGACTGGAATTTCCTAAAAACGAATTCACCAATTCAAGAACATTTTGTTCTATTATTTACAAGTCGACCCCAAGAAATTACTTGCAAAAAATAAGTTGAACTTTTCCTTAAAATTTTAGAGATTTTTGAAAAAGTATTATTTCCCAGCTGAGATTTCGCTCACTTTTTGCACCACAAAAACGATTCCTTATGGGGTAAACCTAACATAAATGAGCAATACGCTCTACAATCTCTATTTTTGGCCAACAAATCTTTTACAAAGAAGCCGTATTTCAAAAAATTATTTTTTGGTTTCATCTTCTTGGCACTGAGTGTTTACTAAAATAGGTGATTCTGAAAAGTCAATGATTAGATAAAATTTCCCTTAATCGCAAATTCCCTGTTTTAAGTACTTGATTTTAGGTTTTGAATGGGACCCATTGCCTATCCATTAACCCATTAAAAACTTGTCTAAAGGCTGGTCACTCAAAAAGTGACTAAGTCACTTCAGCTGAAGAAATCTCTTATTTTTTTATGTGAGGCCCATTCTGATTTTTTTGTCAAAAACTTTTGAAATATAGTCAAGTTTATCAAAAAATCTGGGAAGAATTCCTGGCTTGGTTTTTGAGAAATCACCTTTTTCCCAGAACTTTCCTTCCAACCTAATAGATCCAAATCAAATGAAACTAACGAAGAAATTGAAGACGAATCCGAGATGCCAGAGTTCTCGTTTCTAACAAGAATTGCATCTGAGTGAAAATCCAAGCTGTTAACATCCTCATCCAAATCGACGTCATCCAACAATGTCGCCAATGATTGATCACTTCTTCCCTATGTGATCTTTCAATTTACGGGCTTTATTCTGCAACATCTTGTAGGAAATACGCTATTACTTTCGTCGTTTGTGGAGTGCCCATTACAAGATGGCATTGTCGAGTTTGCACGATCGTAACCGACGTCCGCCACCAGACAATTTCTTTGAATTCTTGTTTGCATTGGTCAGGCTAGCTTTTTGCTTTCTCCATGCACGAATTTGGCATTCTTTGACGTCAAAATGTCGTCCCGCTTCCTGATTGTTGCTCTTCTTTGCATATCCGATTGCTTCCAGCTTCAAACACGCGTCGTAGCGCCTCTGCTTTAGTTTGCTCAACTTGCTTTGACGATCACTCATTGGGGTCACCTAAATTTAAAAAATTACTAGATTTAATAAATAAATTGGAAATAAAAAACTAAAAGCAAAAGTTACAAGAAGTGAAACTAGGTAGAATGAGATAAAAAATAGAAAGAACAAAAGAAAAAAAACCAAGGATTACGGTAGTTACAGCACAAAATAAAATTTATGGGAACCCTCTAATAAAAGACGAGTCTTATATTAGAGCGCGTCTTTTAATAGAATAAATACGGTAAGTCAAAGTTTAAAAGTAGATGGGATCTTGATTTTTTAGAATAAGGTTGCAGAGTTGGCTCTCCAGAATCAAGCAAGAATATCACTAGATCTGTTTATGTGTGCTCACTATTGTTTCTTCTAGGTCTTTTGTGGCCAATGGAACCAGAGTCTCGTTGCAATCAAAAAGCCAAAAGTGCGCTCGTATCCGCTCACCGAAAAAGAGAAGTCAAGCTTTGCGAGAGAAGCTCGACACCTTAAATCGCTCAATCATCCGAATATTGTTCTCTTTTATGGGGTGAATATAGAATATGTTTTAGCAAGATAGATTTCAGATTTCTGAATATAATGACATTCCTTGTATGGTGACTGAATTTCTGGAAAACGGTGACTTGAGAGCGTTTATGAAGTCGCGTCAAGAGATGGGCATTTACGAGATATGGAGTGTGCTTATTCAGGTTTAAAAACAAAGAACACGCTAGAATCAAATTTTACTTGTGATAAATTCAGATAGCAAGTGGAATGGATTATCTCGAAACTCGACCAGTGCCCATAATCCATCGAGACCTTGCTGCAAGGAATGTTTTGATTGGTTCGATTGTTGATGGAAATCCGTTAGTAAAGGTGGGTAAGGTGCTGTATCTAGACAAGCTAGTTGTATTGATTTTCAAGTTGAATCTGCTCGTGAAGAACGATAAATTTTTAGATCAGTGATTTTGGATTAGCGAGAGAACTCTTGGATAAGAATTACTATCGTTCAAATGAATGTCCATTTCAATGGTGCCCACCTGAGGTTTCTAAAAATAAGTGCCCATAAGACACAAATTTTTGTTTTAGTTCTATTAGGTTGATGCAAAAGTCTTTTTCATTTTTTTCGTCTGCCGTTTCAAGCCAACAAATGCACGAATTAAACTACGGTTGATTTCATTAGAAAAAGCAATTATTTTTGTGCAAAATAACATTAAAACGGGTTTAAAAATATTTAATGCCTGGATTTTCTTGAGAGTATGAAGTCGGGTAGTCAAAAAGGGCTAACTCGATGATGCGGTTTAGACACCTTAGCTAAAGAAAACCTATCTTCGTGTCAATAGATAAAAGATAGAGAAAAAAAACGTTTGATATTTCGCCAAAATTTCAGAGAAATTCATTCAGCCAATTTTTCCGTAGAGTTTTTTATAGATTTTTACGAAAAAGGCGTTTTTCACTCTCGAATTTGCTTGAAAGTGAACCGAAATTCATTTAAAAAGATGCAAATTGAACAAAAAAACACTTTTTTTATAGAGCAAACTATAGATTAATTGGTGAATTTGTTACTTTTTAACAGAAGTACGAAAAAAATGACAAAGACTTTTGCATCAACCTAATAAAATTGATAGTAAATGCTATAATAGAACGGCCACCTTCTAATAGAATGGCACCCTCTAATAGAGCGGCAGGGTAGAGGGGGAGGGGAAAAAAATAGAACAGCATGCCGTTCAATTACAGTATTTACGGCAGTTGCTCGTTGACTTGGCGGTGAATTACCGCCATGACCGTCAAGTGCTCCTTTTACCCTTTTCTAAATTCACTAATTCTAAAAATTTTTCAAAAATGGACTGCAATGTTTGCTTTAGACCCTGGACACGGGATATTTCTCTCGTGGATCCGACATGTGGTCATTCGGAGTGGTCATTTACGAGATTTTCACGAGAAATCATCATCCATATGTTAAAGAAATATCAAAAGGTTGACTGTTAGAGTGTGTTCCTCGCGAGTAATGCGTTTTTCAAAACGCATACTTGGGAAAAATTACCGTACTTTTAGCGAAAATTATTGCAAAAAAAATCATGAGCGCCCGCTTATATACGACTTCTTTTAAAGATATTCAGCCGTTTAACTGATTTGATGGCGAATTCCCGTCAAATATAAAGATATCCAGTTTACTCAACGTGTACTCGTACAGTAGGGTCCAAAAGTTTGGAACAATCACCTTCCGGCAACTTCAACTCGATGTAACTTGCGTTAGACACATCCAATTTTGTTACTTTAAAAACTATTTTTTGTCGCATTTTTTGTGAACTTTCTGAATATCTACTTGATTTTATTTGATATTTGATCTTTTGGTCTTGCGCTTTTTCTTAGAACACCCATTTTTTAAGGGTCCAAAAGTTTGGAACAATTTCAAAAATAACAATACATTTTTAATTTTAGGGTTCGAATTAATCGTTCGAATTTGACGGAGTAGATAATGATGAGGTATAATAAAGAACTTATTGTGACTAAAGTAAATCGAGGAAAGAGCCATCAAGAAGTCGCCACAACATTCGGTGTCACCCATGCAGCAGTAACCAAGCTTTATAACAAATGGAAGGTTTCCGGAAATGTGAAACGAGCAGCAACAAAGGGAATCCCAGCTAAACTGGATGAACGTGATGAGAGGACACTTGTGCGACCATTTGAGAAGAACCCACGCCTCAATTCAGCTGATCTACGTCGCGATGCCGAGTCAAACTATGGAGTTTCGCTTTCCAAAACGACGGTTAAGCGACGGCTAAGGCTAAGTAATTTTATGGTTTAGAAAGCAATAAAATGTTGCTATTTAGGAGACAAGGACACAAAGGAAGTCGTCAATCTCGAAAGCCGTTGATTGCCGACAAGAACGTAAAGGCTCGGCTCGAATTTGACAAGACGTACAAAGACTGGTCGGCTGATGATTGGAGTGATGTATTGTGGATTGACGAAAGCAAATATGTGCTCTTTTTCACTAATGATGTCCAATTAATCAAAGAAAAAATCCAAAGTATCAAATTCCAACAGACAAACACGATCAGTTCTCGTTTGGGGTTGGTTACCTTTATTATCAACTGAGCTTATTTGAATTTAGGTTGTTTTTCACGATACGGAGTTGGTGCATTTGTCAGAATCAATAGTATTATGGATGCAGCTGCTTATGAAAACATCTTGAAGATCCATATGCTTCCACATGGCAGAAACAACTTGACCAACGACTTCCCTTTCATGCACGATAACGATCCGAAGCATACAGCTCGGCGTGTTAAGCAATGGCTCCAACAAAAAAAACGTCGATGTGCCTCAATGGCCAGCTCAAAGCACTGATCTGAATCCACTAGAGCATCTTTGGGAGCATTTGGACCGACAAATCCGTACCAGGAATTTCACAAAAACATCAGAACTCATGAAGGCGTTTGAGGAGGAATGGATTAAGATCTCAAGGCAAACCATTGACAATGTGATCGATTCGATGTCAAATCGTTACGCAGGTGTAATTAAAACAAAAGGATACGCCACAAAATTCTGAATTTTGCAGGTTAAAGCACGTTTAAATACCTATACAGACCCCAAAACAGTCATTTTTGTGTCCCCGATTGGGCTTTTTACTCTCTATATCGATTTTATGCCATTTTCAGATCCGGTGAAGGCGGAAAAATAGCGAGCATCGTCGACGAGGAGAAACTGAAAAAATATAATGGGTCAATCAGAGTTGGTAGGAAAGTGTGTTGAAAAGCGCAAATTTGGCGCAAATGGCACGTGGCACAAATAATTTGGCGCTTTTGCTAGTGCCTCCGATTAATCGAGTAAAAATTCCTCATACAAATTTTACTCGAGTCATTACTTATTTGCGAGGAACACACTCTATTTACTGTGTTGACAAAAACAAACTTCTTGAATAGTATTTTAGTAAGTCCATCGACCATTTTGGAGTTCCTCCAAAATGACGGCAGATTGACTCGACCTGATAACTGTCCACAAATCTTTTGGCAAAAGGTACACAAGCTTACTATCTGACTAAAATTTTCGACTAATGCGCTTTCCAAAGCGTGCCAACCCACAAAAACTACAGTAGTCCGTTGTTTCCGTTTGAGATCTATCTAGCTTTAGATCGTTGAAAATGGCTGTTTCCTCTTTGAACGTGAGAAACGCCCCGATTTCAAAGAGTGTATTGAGCGAATTTTTTGCTTTATGGATGAAAACGAGTATGAGAAATACGGTGCCTCTATATTTTGTTATGCAAAAATGACCAGTTGCAGATCGCATTTACAAAAATCCGCTTATGGGGAGAGCGTTTTTCAACGCTGACGCTGAAGCGGCGAACAAGCAGATTTCATTTCCGGAAGTGTTTCAAGTGATCCATATAACACCTTAAGACCAGCGGTCAAATTTTTTAGATAGAACACCCCAGACAAAACAAGAGGATACTGATTTCGCTTGATGAAATCAAGGTTAATGTAAAAGATCTGAAGAAGCCGGTTGGTTTTACTTATATATGTTACGTCCGAATCTGAGGAGACGTCCATCTCCGATCCGAAAGTCCGAATCTGAGGAGATTCATTCTCCTCTGAAACGGACGTCCGACTCAGAAATGGACGTCCGACTCAGAGTCGGACGTCCGTTTCGGAGGAGAATGATCATTCTTCTCGGAATCGGACGTCCGATCTTGAGAACAAATAGTTTAAGTGCAAAATCCAATGTTTGTCCAATGTGAATACATGTGTTTTGTTCAAAACATTGGATTTTGCACTTAAACTATTTGTTCTCAAGATCGGACGTCCGATTCCGAGAAGAATGATCATTCTCCTCCGAAACGGACGTCCGACTCTGAGTCGGACGTCCATTTCTGAGTCGGACGTCCGTTTCAGAGGAGAATGAATCTCCTCAGATTCGGACTTTCGGATCGGAGATGGACGTCTCCTCAGATTCGGACGTAACATATACATTGCTACAACTCTTGTATTCAGTTTTGGTATGGTTCTTTGAAAAATCGAGAGATTCGGGGAACCGAAATCGTTACAAAACATCGGAAGGGCGGAAAAATTGCTCTTTGGGAGAAAAATCGAATGAAAAAACTCGTCGAATTAAGCCATTCAAATATACTGCCGTTTTACGGGGTTCATTCCTTTTGTTGGACAAACTGGCAACAAAATTCAGATTTTACAAAATGGGAAGCACGAATTTTTCGTAACAAAATGGCTAAGATATGGGACTTTGCAAGATTTTGCAAAGCAAATAAAAGGAGTGAATCGAGGGCAGGTCGATCTTTTGATACAGGCGAGACTGGCTTTTAACAAAGATCTATCTGAAATTGAGATTTGTTCTGGAATGAAATATCTTCATTCTCGTGGTATTTTACATGGACATTTATCGGCTGCGAATTGCTTGATGGGCGATCCCGATCTTGCACCGTTGGTGCAGGTAAGATTTTAGGATGGACTCCTCACTGAGTCGTTTTCTAAAACGTACCAACTTTGGAAAGCTATGGTAATCGTGCCTTTGGTTTTATCCAATTTATTTTATATACCTACCGTAAATGCTGTAATTGAAGGGCACGCCCGTCTATTTTTCCCTATCTTTTAGAGAGAGCATATAAAATTTTTTTCAAAAACCGCTCTAGCTCAATTGTAAATGCTCTAAAACGAACAAAAAACATGTTTAAGACAAAAAAATTTTCAGCCCCTGGAGGTCGGACTCTCGAAAATGATAAGATCTCCTTACAATTTTTTTTCGAAAAAGTATTTTTGGAAAATTTTTTTAGATCCTTCTAAATTTTACTGCCAATCCTTCTACGTTATACATACTGCCCATATACACCATTCTAAGCACTTTTCAGCCAAACTCTTTTTCAAAAGTAGTGACTTTTTGGGCGACCAATTTTGTGTGGGGAGGGTGTCCTTCAATTACAGTATTTACGGTAGTCTGATACTGTAAAGGCTTACGCGCTAAAGACGCCAAGTAAAAAAACTAATAAAACTGAGATTACGGCAGCTTTCGAAAGTTGACAACTAATACCACGCAACTTAACGCTTTTCCGCAGCTTTTGCCTTTTAGCCAAAATTTGACGTGTTAGCGAGGTCTGATTTGTCGAAATTTTATATCTACGCATACGATTCTCTTATACGAAAATATTTTTGAAGCTCTAAGGCCTTTCTTAAGGTCTTTTCCAGCGAAAAAAGGTGCACAAATGTCCAGGTGCGCAAAAAAAGGTAGCATTTGTCCCACCCCCTTGGTAGGTTTTCTTTCTATCTGAATAGATTTCAGATCTTACAACTTTGATTTTTCTATTCAAACTGCAATTTTTAACAGGTATCTATACTTAGGAGACAGAATGTATGTTTTAAAAAATTTTTGATAGAAATTCATAGTGGGCTTCAGGTAAAAAATAAAAAATTTCTTCAGTCAGCTTGGTCTGACTTATAATAAGACTTGGTCACTTTTTGAGAGAGACCACCCTTTAGACAAGTTTTTAATGGGTTTTAATGAATAGGTAATGGGTCCCATTCAAAACCTAAAATCAAGTACTTAAAACAGGGAAAATTTGTGATTAAGGGAAATTTAATCTAATGCTTTAACTTTTCATAATCACCTATTTTAGTAAACACTCAGTGCCAAGAAGATGAAACCAAAAAATTATTTTTTAAAATACAGCTTCTTTATAAAAAATTTGTTGGCCAAAAATAGAGATTGTAGAGCGTATTGCTCATTTATGTTAGGTTTACCCCATAATGAATCGTTTTTGTGGTGCAAAAAGTGAGCGAAATCTCAGCTGGGAAATAATACTTTTTCAAAAATCTCTAAAATTTTAAGGGAAAGTTCAACTCTTTTTTACAGGTCTCTTGAAGTCGACTTGTAAATAATAGAACAAAATGTTCTTGAATTAGTAGATTTCCAGCTCAAGTCTGTGCAAAGACTTTCTTGCCGACCTAATATCACAATATCTTAACTTTAGATTAGTGACTATCACAGATCGTACGAGCCAATCGGTTCAGCAAAAGATTTTCAGCTACGTTGGTGCTCAATTGAGGTATTGAGTCAGTAAAATTTCATCAGTTTTTGTAACTTTAATACTTATAGATTTTTAGACAATTAAAACAAAGGTGAAAACGTTTCAAAACGATATTTGGTCTTTTGGAGTAGTCATCTGGGAGGTTTTCTCATATGGAGCGACTCCATATAAAGGTCAACTTTTTGAATCAGGCAAAATAATTTTTGATTAAGGCATACAAGTTAATGCTTTGCTATCTTCTTTGAAGGGTGGCTCTCGGCTGGAAAGGCCGTCTAAATGCCCAAAGGATATTTACGAAAGAGTGATACTTCCCCGCTCATTTCGAAAAAGGATGAATTTTAGATTATGATGAAATGTTTCAAAGAGAAACCATTGACACGCCCCGATTTCGGAAATTTGGAACTAATGTTAATGGAGAGTCGAAAGAACTGGCAGGACATTGTTGATGGGGAAGTGAGATCGTCACGTTTTCTTATGATATTTGATTCTCTTGCGAACTTAGAGTTGTTGTATCTCGCAACCAGGCCAATAGCCAGAATTTCGCGACTTTCAGTCTAACGGCTCGAGCTCCTCGAGGCTACCCCTAATCAATTTCCGACCAAGAAATGATATTTTTTAAAAATTTCAGACTACAAAACTCTCTAAGTTGCTTTTGAAAAATCTCAGAAGGTAGATGAAATTTGATTGGGGGGGGGCTAAAATGAAAAACGGTTGTTCATCTAGTTTTCGGGATTTTCACTTTTTTGAGTTTTTTCAATTTTTGATCTCGAAAACTAGATGAACAACCGTTTTTCATTTTAGCCCCCAATCAAATTTCATCTACCTTCTGAAAACCATAACGTTGGTTTTGTAAAATCAATTATTGATGCCTAAAAACTCATTTTATCGAAATTTTTGCACTAAAAAGCAAAAATCTCGAGGCTTTTGAATTTTTTCAAAAAACTATTTAGACAGTTTTGTAGTCTGAAATTTTTTAAAAATATCATTTCTTGGTCGGAAATTGATTAGGGGTAGCCTCGAGGATTTCGAGCCGTTAGACTGAAAGTCGCGAAATCCTGGCTACGGGCCTGCTCGCAACATTGATAAGTTCAAAAATTCGGAAGTTTAAAAAATAGGAGATTTTTAGATACTCTCTGATGCTTTATTGGAAGTCGATCTCGTACACCCATCAAATTTACCGCAGGAGGAAATTGTAGGGTGCAACAAAAATTGTTATGAGCCAATTTTGAAACCTTGCAAACCAACAATAAGCTATTTGTTTTCCTTTCATACTTTAGAAGGTTTTTGATGACTCGGATATGATGTATGTTGTCGATAATTCGTCAAGTAACGTCCACAGCGGAAAACCAAGACACCTCTATGATTCTGTCTCGTGCTATAATAGAGGTCCAACAATTTCCCCCGAATATAATTGTAAACTTTTACGACTAAAGTCATTAGGCACATTTTAGAACTCGTAAGCAACTACTCAGCCGGAACACCTCTCAGGTCCTCGTCCTCGAATCTCACGTTCACGGAACTCAGTGGATCACGATTACAGGTATTACGAAACAATAGCAACATAATGACTTTTACCAAATTCTTTTGTTTTTAGGCTCTATCTCGTGTTACTAAGTCACTGTCTGGCATCAAATGGCCCCGACTTGCTAGATTTCGTAACAGCGTATGTATCTATGCTGATAAACGGTATTCACCCAAAACAAAATTTAGATTAGAGCCTTCCGAGGAACGCGAAAGGAAGAAAGCCTGCCTAGACATTGTATGTTGGCTTGACTTTAGATACCCTCTACCCCCGCCTCCAGCCAAACGACCGCAACTGATGTTTTTCTGGAGTTTTCGCTTCGGGGAAATTAGGAGCCATAGCCTAGGCAAATAGCAGACACATAAAGAGGGAATAAGAGGTTGGGGTCGTTTGGCTGAGGGGAGTATCTAAAGTTATGTTGTATGTTTTATATCTAACAATAAGCAGGGATGTTCCAAACGGACCTGGTAGTTAGGGCAGACCAGAAGTAGCAAACCGATTCTTTATGGTTGGTCACAAATTACTGTTTTCTCAATCATTTCTTTTCATTTTCGAGATTGAAATTGCCAGATAAACGACACCATAAAATTCGAGAGTTTGGAACATTCTTGGTCTTAAGAAATTTCGTGTAGATATTCAACTTTAGTCTATTCCATTTTTAGCCCATGCATGTTCTATTTCGGAGGATTATGCCTATCCGACCGTTCCCCAAGCTCCAGAAAGCAAAATCCCTCCTCCACCAGTGCAAACTCGGCTTTGAGACTTTGGGCTTTTGTATTTAACGAATTTGAAAAAAGAAATAAATATTTCATTACATGACAGAAAAAAGTTGAAATATAACAAATGCAAAAGGAAAAAGAAAAACAAAAGGAACACCACATGGAAAAGAGCAACAAAATGTGCATGAAATAATCCATATTCTCTTACCGTAATACCTCTAATAGTAGCGCCCACATCCGCGCGAAATAAGGCGAAAAATCGTTTTCTATCCGTTTTCCATGTTTGAATAGCCATTCAACGCAGAAAAATGTGCTGATTTCAATGGTGAAAAAATTATCAAAATCCGTCTGATACATTTTTTAAAAATCGCATTTTATCGAAAAAATCGCACTTTTACAAGCAACTCGCTCGCAGCGACCAACTTTCGGCGGCTCGTTTTCAGCGTACTCGAAAGATTGCGCCCTCAAAACCGATAACTTTTGTGTGGACGTTTATAAAGATCATTTTGATACCAAAAAAAATAAAAATTGATCAACTCTGCGAAGACTTGATGCCTTTTTAAGTTGAAAATGACGTTTTGCGACTTTCTGCCCGCTAAAACGTGGGCCGTAACCCAACCAATCTGCCGTAACCCAACGTGTCAAAAAGCATGAAGTAGAAAAGCCGCGCTTGTTTCCTTTCATTCATTTTCTTATTCATTTTCTATTGGCTTTTCTCGTCGTGTTTTTCGTCATGTGTCTTTTCGATACATATTTCGATTCTGACAAAGTTTTTTGATTTTTGGACCGTTTAGGTCATCCGACCTGTGCGTCTTGAGAAAACCTAGCTTTTTTGAAAGCTCTTCGAATTGCACGCGTTCCAACGAATTAAGATTAACTTCAGCTTCCATAGCCTTGAATATTTGATTTCCGAATCCTAATTTGATGTGCAGAATCGGTGGAACACAATGTTTAGGCTCAATGTTCCATACATATGGCCGAAGCACACCCTTTCGATTTTCGGCGTCTTTTGTTGGAAGTTTTAAGCGCTCATCAAAACTCAGGATGGTACGTCTTTCGTAGTGTGTTTGGTCTAATTTCTCCTTAACGCCCGTAATTTTTCGCGTCTTCACAGCTTTAAAGAAGCACCACACACAGGGATACGTTGAAGCACACGACATTCCGAATGCAGAAGCCATGAAACTGAGATCACCGCCCAAGAAGGTACAAGGTAAAGGTGAAAGCTTTTCAAACAAGTCCTTTATCTTGCACAGATTTTCGTTATTGTCATAGCCATACCACGCGGCAAGTATCAGTTGATTGTAAGGGGATTGTTGCTTTTCCGACTTGTCTGGAAACATGATTGTAACTTTGGTAACATCCAGTCCTTTATCACACAAAAGTACAGCACGGTGTTTCTCGTTGTCTTTAATTTTAGACAGTCGATATTGAACGGAAGAAAACATGTCTTCTAGCTTCACAATATCGCCTTCAATTTCGTAGTCGACGCTTTTTGCAAGGCTTGCTCGTACCATATTCATACGATACTCCGTTGCAAGAGTACGAGTCTCATGACCGTAAATTCGATGAGCTTCACGTGATACTTTAGATTTCGACTAAAGTGCAAGGGTTTGTAACGGAGAGAGCGATCGACAAGCAATATTTCTTCTCATTCTTTTTCTGTGATTTTTACATTGAACTTTCCGGGCAGCTTTAAGGATTTTCCTTCGTTTTCGCCGCATCTCTGCAGTGATTCTTCCTTTCTCTGCCTTTCCTCTTCTAACAATCAACATTTTTGCCTGATCCAAAGTTGCTTGGTCTTTTTTTCTTTTTAAATCTGTTATTCTCTTCATAGATGCATTTTTGCGTTTGCTTGCCTGTGGCATCGCTGTCGAACCTGAAATGAAAATACTAATGTTAAGCTCAAGAAATGATACACTTTCTGAAATAAGAAACGAATTAATCAAAAAGCTAAAAAAATGACTGCTGGTAGTTGTTGGTTAACCGTCTCTTTGTGAACCAGAAATATACTGAACCTATTAAAAAGCTTACTAAGAGTTTGTTTATCAACAATTTAAATAGAGATAAGTTAAATATAAGTTAAAAGCCTCTGGGAAAAAGGACAAATTCAAATAGTAATATAAATGTCGGGCTGCTTTAAATAGGTTGTTGGCGATTGCCCACGTTTTAGCGGGCAGAAAGTCGCAAAACGTCATTTTCAACTTAAAAAGGCATCAAGTCTTCGCAGAGTTGATCAATTTTTATTTTTTTGGTATCAAAATGATCTTTATAAACGTCCACACAAAAGTTATCGGTTTTGAGGGCGCAATCTTTCGAGCACGCTGAAAACGAGCCGCCGAAAGTTGGTCGCTGCGAGCGAGTTGCTTGTAAAAGTGCGATTTTTTCGATAAAATGCGATTTTTAAAAAATGTATCAGACGGATTTTGATAATTTTTTCACCATTGAAATCAGCACATTTTTCTGCGTTGAATGGCTATTCAAACATGGAAAACGGATAGAGAACACCATTTCGCGCGGATGTGGCGCCCCCCTCCGTATAGTCGCGTAGTCGCAAAAAATTTTCCATAGATCATTTTTTTCTAAGCGCCCATAATTTCTAAAAATGCATTTTTGGTATTAAAAAATAGCCCTGAATTTCAGCTTTTATTTGATACTTAAGCGCACACTGTAGCATAAACGGGTGGTGAGAAAAGTGCGTTTAAAGTTAGACTACGCGACGCTCCGACCGTCATTATATGGGGCTCTACTATTAGAGGTATTACGGTATAAGAGGCGAAATAGGCGACTTTGTGTGTGTGTCTGTCCGAGCATTTTCTCGAAAACGGCTGAACCGATTTACTTGAAAGTTCTAGTTGCTTTTTATGCTCTGTTGATGAAAACGAAATCGAAACGAAAAAAAAAGTAAATGTTTAACCAGTATTTTTGGGGTAGGCTAATTTCCGCCATTTTACCTGCACAATAGGGTCATTTGCGCAACTGGGTCGTTTGCACAACTCGCCATAACTTTCTTCTAAGTGGGCCAATCTTTTTGATTTTGGTGTCAAGAAGAAAGTTATGACGAGTTGCGCAAATAAAATGGCGGAAGTTAGCCTACCCCAGTATTTTCCTTTTCGGCGTAGTTTTGGCCTAAAAGATGCAAAATAGCTTTAAAATTTGCGCATAATGCTTTTGAATCGATAGGAATCCTCAGCAAGTGAGCAATTCTCGCTCTTATCCCGATTTTTTCCTTAGCTTACTACATCTTTAGCTAACAACTAGCTTGTAAATCCCAGATTTTGACTGAAGCGCATAGTTTTTTGACTCATTTAACATTTCATTTCGATGTATCTATTGTTTTCCCCTAAAATCTATTCTTTTTTGATTCAAGGTGCAATCTCGATGCGGCTCTTTCTGGTTCTCTTCATCTTGCTCATCGTTTGCGACCCAGGAGTTGTGGCGGTAAGGGTTAGAATGGGCAAAAGAGTTTCGATACCTCATAAAAAAACCGATTTTGATGGCGCGACAAGAACGATCACCTACATTAATGGGATAGATAACTTTCCTTTTTCAGGAACTGCGTGTCGAATCGGGTCATGCCCGAAAAGCCACACTTCTAGCATAAAATCGAGCCTTAAAAATATTGTTGTGCAGATTGTGCAGAGATTTCTCATTCCGAGATTTTGCAAACATTGACTTCGACATTGGCAGTAAGACTATGTATGATTGTCCGGGAGTTTTCATCCCTGACCCGGAGGCTGAAACAACTTGGAACTACTGGTATGCACAATCCCAGGAAAACAAGTACTTCTCGATGGCTCAATCGCCATCGTTGATGATCTTTATTGGCGTAATGACTTTTTGGGACAAGGGTCAATTTTTCGCAAGAGTGAAATTTACATGAATAACACAAAATTTGAATTTTAGGTCGATTTAAAATGAAATTCATCCAAGAAGACGCATCATTTTTCTACAAATCTATCAGCGCGAGGTTTGCATTTTCTATTAATTATTGTTAGTTTTTAAAAAATTAAATTTCTTTGATTCTTTCTACACCCTTTTATCATTTAGAATCACTCGCAACGATTCGTATATTGGAAACTCAAGTGAGTGGCTGTTTAAAAGCTGTTTCTTGTCTAGTTTCACAGGACCTTTCTTTAAAGCTAACAGTTTCATTTTAGACTTTTGTTCAATATTAACAAATGGAGAAAGTGCAGAAAAAAGAGGCGCCGATCGCCGAGACGAAACCCGACACACAGCCGCCAGCCGAAGACACGAAAATGTGGGTGGATTTACAGTATTTTATGGTAATTGGGCGTATTTATTCTTTAAACTAACTAAATTCTCCATTTAGAAAGAATGACGTGACCAGAGAAACGAAAGAGGAAGTATCGGGGGCTGTCAAGTGAGTATTTGGCTTCGAGTTTTCAAAGTATTGTTTATAATTAGGGTTTTTAAGACTCATTGATTATGGTTAGTTGAGTTTTTCTTGATTAGACTTATTATTGAATTACTGTTTTTATTACCACAACAAATTTTTCACTTCAGAAAGTCGAAAAATCCTTTGTCAGCCGTCCCCGAGCGACTCCTCAACAAAAGGACTCTCAACTTCAAGGTGCCGCCCGCGAAAGTGGTAACTTTTTGATGTAAATGACAACTTGCAATACTTTTTTGTTTAGTTTGATGTGAAAGTGAACTCGGCTTGTCAAGTGATCACGCTGCCAACATTTGGCATCAAGACCGAACAGCTGGATTTGGGCGATCTGATTAAAGATGTGGGTTTTTACTTTTTAAATTTTTATTGCTGTCTTTTTCAACATCAAGTATCAAGTTTGTTTTTATTTGATTACAAAAGATAATTTTTCTGATTCAGGTAAATGGAACGGAGATCACCGCCAAGTCGCAATTAAACTCTTTCCTCAAAAAGTTGGCCACCGATAGCAAAGCTGAATATGAGGTGAGTTTACGTTTGAATGTTTTTAGCCATTTATTTCTATTACTTCTATTACTTTTTTTAGGTAAACATCACATTTCTTCGTGTCATCCGTACTGAGCCTATCCCGCTGAATTCTCCGCTTATCCCAGCTGCCGTCGATTTACAAGTGTGTATTTGGCTTTTGTATCCATTTTAACTTTTTTCATTCTAAAGATCACTAATTTAGTTGGGATTCACGTACCTTGAAGGTCACATGCTTCTTTTGCCTCGAGGGTCGCTTGGATTGAAGATTAAAACGTACAACAACAAGGTGAGCAAGCTAGAGCTTTCTTCTATTCATGCAACTACTTCAGGTTTATGTTACTTCGACGGACAACGGTTTCAATTGTGTCTCGAAACGAACACTACTCGTCGGCGATGCCATTCTTTCTGTAGATCGTATGTTTTGGGGATAGCGTTATTGACCAATGCCTTTGTTTAGAAAAACCGGTATCAATGTTAAAAGAATGCAGTGAAATGCTCACCTCGTGCCTTGAGAGAGAAAAGGATTTGTACGTTTTTGAACTTTTAATAGTCTTCATCATTATTTGTTTAGGTATCGGTAGTGATTGAGCGTCCCGACAGCGCGCTGGTGGCCCCATTGGTGAGAGCGGCGCTGATCGCCGAGAAGAGTGTCGATACGGATCCAAGGATGGCCGATGATGTGATTGCGATTTGCAAGTAAGCTTTTAAAATTTGAAAATATGTTCAGGTTTAGCTATCTTCTTGTATTAATATCTGTTTTATATTTCGTGTTTGCAATTTTCATTTATAGAGAAGAAATCGCTCGAATGGTGAAGAAGGAAAAGCCGGAGATGCGACCGATCTTGCGAACGGTCAAGTCGGAGAGGAATAAAAATCCGATCAAGATGAGAGACAAGGAATCGACGGAAGTAGTGATTGGTGGCTGCTTTTTAAGGGTTATGAGCTGATGTTTCAAACGAAACAACAGCTTTTGCAACTTTATTTTGTTTAGATATGGATCCGGTCAATCCGGTTTTGTTGAGACACGTACCGCCTCAGATTTCGGGAAAAGACAGCTCCGACAAGAGTAACGCCAATCGAAGAGCGGTCGGCTGCAATGATAATGGCAAATACGCGGTTGGTTTCAGTATTTTAATATATTTCATAAAGTATCCGTGTCTTGTACAACTTTTTTAGACTATCAGCAAAACGAAACGTCCCAATTTAAAACATCCGTGGAAAGTTTAAATAAATTGAAATCGTGTGGTGAATGAAGATTTTGGATCATTTTGTTTTGCACATAAGTACTTGATATTTTCTAATGGATAAACATATAATATGCAAATGCTAGCCTGCATGCACAGTAGAATCTTTATTTGATTTGAATTGCGCTGAATTTGAGTTGCTTGGCACTTGTTGGCCGGGGAAATAGAGAAGAAGCACGCTCTCGTTGATGATTCGACGCTGAAGTGGCTATGGTTGGCTGGGATTCTCGCCGGGTTATGGTAGCCACCTGTAATGGTGTAGTTTAGAATTTGATATGAGCATTTATTCACACATAAAAATAAACATTCAAAATCCATGCATAACAAGAACGCTTAGCTAGAAGAAACAGCTAAATAACTAAATTATTTAGCTAAATTACTTAATCACAACTTTACAATGAATGAAGACTATAATCTCTCGACGAAACTCGGGCACATTGATAACATTTCAACAAATCACTCACTTTGATCACGGCCCTCTTCTGCAACCATTTACTGGCCACAGGCGCTTCTTTTGAATGAGACGAGTTATTGACAAGCTTTGATGCATTCTCTTTCCATCTCCTGAATTCCCAATCTTTAACGTATCTTCATTCCATTATCAACTACTTTTATTTGTTCTTTGATCGTTCCTTTCTTCTCTTCATTTCTCTTTCTTCACAAGCTCTCTTTATACCTTGATCCATAGCGATAACTTGGGATGAAAAGCATTGTGAGAAGTGGACCAAAGATTTGTTGATAGGACCAGATTGCCATCGAGAGACTTGAGACTAACTGCAATTGTAGGATATGTAACTATCGATTAGGATTCTGTAAGATTTTGTCACCATTATAGTGGTTTCTTACGATTTTACAGTAAAACTCATGATCCTACGATCGTACTCAAAGAAGTACTTCTTTGATTCTTTGAGTGTGTGCTTGAAAGCGAAAACACATCCCTTTCTGGTGCTTTGAGAGAAAAAGTTATAAATTGAGTGCGCCAGAAAGAGTGTATTTCAACTTTTAAGAGAACAAATTTCGTCTATTATGAACATTTTTGTGTTCGCTTTTATTGAAATGTTGTACTGTTTTTTTTTGTGGCTCTCACCTGTGTTCGCTTTTATTGAAATGTTGTACTGTTTTTTGTTGCTTGCTCTCACCTGTGTATAGAGTCCAAATCCAATTGTTACCGCAATAATCACGATCGGTGTTCCGCCAAAGATTATCGGCAGAAGGGACTAAAATGTAGTTGAAATGGTTGAAATGATTGCTGACATTTACCTGACACATTAAACAATATGTGAGCCGTCTCTGCATTCGCAATGTTCGCGAGCTGATCGTTTGATTTCGTTGCATGTGTTGAAGGCCTCTGAAATGAGGTTTGGTTCTTGGATCTTGTAAAAATCAATCTATACTTGGGATCAATCAAAGTTAAAGGGCTAAAACATTATTTCTAAGGGTTTTCTGTGGTTGACAATCCAAATTTGTCGTTAATTTTGAATCCTGAAATCACCAACACTATATCAGAAATTTGGGTAATTAAACCGAGAAAAAAGAAACCGATCTTTACCCTTATACCTTTACCCTTATACCTTTACCCTTATACCTTTACCCTTATTCCTTTACCCTTATACCTTTACCCTTATTCCTTTACCCTTATACCTTTACCCTTATACCTTTACCCTTATACCTTTACCCTTATACCTTTACCCTTATACCTAAGCCATGTGCCAAAAGCCGTGCGATTAAGTAAACATGAAAATTTTTATCGTTTTTCATGAGTTTACTGTAGCTTTTTCGAGATACTTTTTAGAAAAAGCTATCGTAGTTCCTTTTGGGATTGTTGTAGATCGAAATTAACACCGTATTCGGTTTCCCCACCTCCGAAAGCCCTAGTATACAAATTTTCAGCCAAATTGGTTCATAAAAACGCAATATAGCGTGTCAGTCATTGACACATTGTCGCGAATGTGTTAAGTGTATTAACTTAAAAAATGAAGCTTCTAACTATCTATTTACTAACAGTTTATAGTTTTTTTTAATCTATTTAATCGAGCACGTGTGGCTGACTGGTTACGTGTCTTTTATCTTAATCGGAAGGTCGAGGGTTCGAACCCCACATGCGACATGGTCACCCCCTTCGGATTTCCTTTCCCTTCGGGTTGAGAGGTTTTCTGGAGGGCAGTCTGGTGGTTGTGGCCCCAGTTCTTTAAAGTGACAAGCCACTCCTTCATCGTCATCTTCCCTTCACCACCAAAAAAGCTATTTAGTTCCCCATTGAGCTTAGGGTTAGGGAGCCGTCTGTCATGACGTGGGTTAAGTTAAGATATAGCCTAGTATTGTGTGTGTCGTTGTATTGTGATTGATATATTTCGTGTATGCGATAAATTCACCACTGGTAGCCCCAGTCGGTATTTTTTTATTTTTTTTTATTCAAAATCGCTTCATATTATTTGTCAATTTGACTGGCAACTACTTGTTTTAACAAAATGAGCACAGTTCTGAAGGAGAAAAAGTACCAGAAAAGTACCAGAAAAGTACCAGAAAAGTGTGTTATTTTGATTCGCACAACTCTCAATTTTCCGAGCGCATTTTTTACATGAAAATCAAATCAAGTCGTAGGATTTTTGATGCCGTTTGTAGACTTTTTTAGACGGAACTTTTTCAGGAATTTTTGCTGAAACCAGTTATTTAGTTATCATCTCTAAAACGAGATAAACAAATTTGTTTTCACAAAATTTCACTCATTTTGTACCCCCAGCTCACTGGGGAGTTCATTTTTTGGATTTTTTGATTGAATTTCGAAAAAAACCGCATTACAACCGGAAAAATTTATATTAAAACCTGAAAATATCGAATTTTTTTGACGCATCAAGTTGAGCAAAATGTTTATTCGAAAATTACGAAATTTTCGAGCTCATTTGTGAAAAGAAATGTTTAAAGTGAAAAGAGAAATTGCGTAAAATTGAATTGCACAATTTTGTGCGAGTTGAACGCGCAAAATTTTGTGGTAAAGGAAAGTTCCCGGTCATGGGTTCAGTCTTGGTGCACTTTTCCGGGAAATGGCAATTCTTTGGCAAAAATTTTTGGCAATTCTTTTTTAAAGCTATTCAAAACTGAATAGATTGCTGAAAATTTGCTAAAATTTCCTTTAAACGTGTTTTTGTTGTTTGCTAAGGCTTTTTGAGTGCAAACGCGCTCAGTTCCCCATTTTTCTGCGTACAACATGGCTTACTTTAGAGAAAAACCGGGAATTTCGGTGTGTTAGATAAGATGCGTTTACTTTAATACAAAGTACACTATAACATTACTAATGGTTTAGGATGTTGGAAGATATAGATATGGGCACTATAAACTACAAAAATGACGGACTGTCGCACTACAAATGCTTCTAACTTGTTTCAAATTTGTCGGACTGACATGATCGATAACTCAAAAAATAGAGAATCTCAAGAACTTTCTAATGGATCAAAGCACACCCAAAAATATCAATCCTAAAGAAAGTTACAGTGGTTTGTAGCCTGATGGACCGTATTAGCGTGTAGTCGAAGCGATCGACTCACTACAAACCATTGTAACTTTCTTTAGGATTGATATTTTTGGGAGTGCTTTGATCCATTAGAAAGCTCTTGAGATTCTCTATTTTTAAGCTATAGATCATGTCAATGCGAAAGATTTGAAACAAGTTAGAAGCGTTTGTAGTTTAGCATCCATGTCTGATTCTCACCTCACAATCAGCATCGCACAGACGATCAAAATCGAGTACCCGATGACGAACATGACAAGAAATATGTATTCAGTGTAGTAAACGTGGTAGTCAAGGTGAATGAGATTGCCGAAAAGCGGTTGATTCGGATCGTCGTCGAGATGGGTGTAGTATTCGGACCACGAGGAGACCTGGAAGCGGGCTGTCATTGTTCTCAAACGATTAAGAGCAGAAATAAATGTAAATCAAGTCACTACGATAATCTTATAGATATTTTTATTGGAATTTTAAGAAACGACCCTTTTCCTTGTCATTTATTTACCTCAGCAGCTGGACCGGATTTCGGCATATCGCCCATCCACATCAACACCGTCGCCGCCGCACTTATCAAAATAAGTATCACGAAAACGGGGAATATCGTCTAAAATTAGCTTTTATGTAAATTTAAAATTTAAATAAATACCTTCAATTTCGTAAATAAGTCGGCAAAATTTGGGTGGCAGATCCGGAAATAACGATAAGCGAATGAAAGGGGAACTGCCATAAGACTGTATTGAATGAGCCTGGAAAATGGGTTTCTATTTAAAACCTAAAAAAGCAACTATTACCCGACGAATGCGCACGTTAACAAGTGATTCTTGGCGGGATGAATGAAATAGACAACTGGACCCATGATCACGTAGGAGACACCGGAATCGTTTGGAGGACGGGTTACCTGAAATGAAGGGATTTCGGGTTTTGATTGTGGATATTCCAACTGGTTTCTGGACTTGTTAGTCAGCCAGACCAGAGCCAGATTAGAAGCCAGTCTAGCTCCAGGAGCTTAGAAGTTTTGTTTCAGCCAGTCTAGAAACTGACTGACGTAGACCCTGGCCTTGTCTGGACTAACTGTACTAATTGCTAAAAATCATAATCACAGTATGTAAGATATTCAGTCAGATTGAGTGCTTTATTTGTTTTCAATAGACAGGTAGGGCTGTACGGTAGACTACATGGAACAACTATAGACATAAAATCTGGATTAATCAATTTTGATATTGTAGCCTTGATGCACCTCTTTTGTCGAACTTGACGGTACCGGCTGAAGCCACAAATTACCGAAAGCGATCAGAAAATCGCAGAGAACTGAAAAGAAGTCAATCGATATTCTTGAAAGAATATATTGTCGCCAAACCGATATTACTGATGACTAGACGATATGCTCTCAACTCGTTTGGCGTTCTCCTCAATACAGCGAATAGAAGAAAACCGTTCATGAATAGAGCGAGTGATGAGGCGAGATAGGAATGGCTGATGAATGTGATCTCTAATGGGATCATTTTTCTGTAGAAATCTGTAATTTTCATTATCATCAATATTTGGACTTATTGGAATGAAAATGAACAAGAAGAAATGGAAATGAACAATATGAAATGAAAATGAAGTGGAGATGAACTCAACGAGTGTGATCAGGCAATGTACATGAGAAAACCAAAAGTCTATCGCATTTCAATTAGAGTTCCGTGAACAAAACAAAAGAACAACTAAAATATAGTCTGTAAAAGCAAAGCCGAAATCTCAAGTGAGTCATTCAGACAGATTGGTACAAAATTTATTAGATATTTTGGAGACTATTTTAGTTTTCTAAATTTTACGCTAATCCGGATTGTTTCTAAACGGAAATTTTTGATTTCCGGTACATTTTGAGAGCTTTTTCAAAAAACAAACACGATTTTTTGAAATTTGAAATGATACTTAATATCACTTTAAGCATTAACAAGTTTACAGACAATTCTAGAGCTATGGCCGATTCTAGAGCTATGGCCGATTCTAGAGCTATGGCCGATTCTAGAGCTATGGCCGATTCTAGAGCTATGGCCGATTCTAGAGCTATGGCCGATTCTAGAGCTATGGCCGATTCTAGAGCTATGGCCGATTCTAGAGCTATGGTCGATTCTAGAGCTATGGTCGATTCTAGAGCTATGGTCGATTCTAGAGCTATGACCGATTCTAAATGATTGCCAGTCAGATTGAGTGCTTTATTTTTTTCAATAGGCAGCCACTAAACGTGGAGCATTTAATGCATTACCAAGCTCAACTTATAACCTAGCTGTGCTTGCCTTGGTGGATTGGGAACTTGTCTAATAAGCTAGACTTATGTGAACTGTATCTGCTGAAACTGGGTGAGTCAGTTTTTAAGCAAAATATAGTCTGTAAAAGCAAATCATTACCAGCAAATTTTACAATCATTTTGGTACAATGCAAAATTTGTTTTTCGAGATTTTCATCTAAAATAAGCTCCAGCTTTTGATGTTAAAAACTAATTTATTTAAAGAAAAGAGAATTTTGACATTATTTTGACATTAGTTTAGTGTAATTTAAAAGTGTTAAGTGTTAGAAAGTAGACAAATTGATAGCGAAAAAGAAAATCCTGGAAACTTAACAATTTCAAAGGAAAAACTAAAGTTCTGCAACTCATTTCGAGGGTACAAAATCCAAAACGAGAAATAACTGGGTTTCTTGGAAGAAATTGCGTATTTTGCGGCCGAGATTTAGTGGGAATTCTTCGGTAATGAATTTATCGTCGAACAAATGTGATTTCCTCTTTTTGTGGAATTCTTTTGTCAAGACTCTTTCCCGAGAATTCGATTTCAATTTTATCCACAGTGTGAGCAAGTGAACTATGCACGATGTCGGAGTCCAAGTTTGACAAAAACTACGAGTTTTTTTCTGCAAATACAACAAAAGCAAAAAGGCCAAAGCTGAAGCTAAAGCTGAGGCCAAAACTGAGGCTAAAGCTGAGGCTAAAGCTGAGGCCAAAGCTGAGGCTAAAGCTGAGGCCAAAGCTGAGGCCAAAGCTGAAGTAAAAAACTAACCAGGTTAAGATTTAGGATATATCTTTGAAAACAATTCTTTTGAATCTCTGAAACTACTCTTTTCCTATGTTCTTTAAGTGGAAATCTGAAAACAAGCCAAAAATTAGAAAATTACGGAATTTCCCACGATCTGATCAGATTGGACTAGAACTTTTTCAAATTTTATGGGTTCTGTTGAATTGAGAACGGTAAGCTCTATAAAATAAAGTAGTTTATTGATAAATGACGGTTGAAATTGTTCATTCGCTTTCTAAAACGTTACAGCTTTCGATCAACCACCGTAATCTTTCTTCGCATCGTTGACGTCATTCCCTTCAACTTTTAAAATAAAGTCGACTCTCGATCTAACGAGAGAGTTGACTTAAGATATTTTGTGAAGCACTTGTCCGGGACCGTAAGTATAAGTCGATATACTTACGGTCCCGGACAAGTGCTTCACAAAATATCTTAAGTCAACGCTCTAAATAACGACTTTCGATATAATGATTTTTTTAATCGCTGTTGCACTCACTTTTGATATGATACAACGGTAGGATATGATAGGATATGATATTGGGTTGATGGAAAAGTCCTCAGTGATCCATCAACCCAATACTTTTGATATGATACTCGATATATCTAAAGGGAATATTGTTCTTAGCACGAATGCACTTGATTATATCCTTGCTGACGGTGCTAATTCAACTACAGCCGTTCGAACATTGTCCGAAATCGTTGATACCATAAAATACTCCGAGGAGTCAAGAAAGTGAAAATGAAGAGTTCGTGAAACTAGAGCAAACGATTTCACGGTGCGAAGCTTATCAATGTTTTCAAAAGTTTCAAAACCATATGTCATAGCCGATTATGAATTTCAGCTGATTATGAGTGAGTGGGCCTAGGAGCGTCCAACCATTAAGTATTTGGTATCATTCAACGCAGAATCACTGATAATTATGCTAAATTTTTTAAATTAGAAAGATTGGATAAAAAGAAAAAAAAATTACGGGGCCTCAAAGTTTTCTTCTCGAACAAAGCATTTTTTTGCTTTAATTTTTTTCTTTTCATCAAATCTTGCTAATTAAAAAAATTTAACACAATTATCAATGATTCTGCGTTGAATGATATCAAACACTTGATGGTTGGACGCGCCTAGACTCACGCATTCATAATCAGCTGAAATTCATAACCGGCTGAAATTCATAACCGGCTGAAATTCATAATCGGCTGAAATTCATAATCGGGGTCCCGCTGATTTTGAATGAAACGTTGTAGCGCCCGCAATTTTTAACATAAACTAACAAATTTGGTAACGATCGACGTAGAATTTAATTCGCTACAAAATGTTATAATATTGTCCTCATACATTAAAGGGTTGCTTCACTAGAACGGTCCGCCAAAAAATTTCATTCATAATCGGCTACGACATATACAAAAAAAATTCGAATTCGCTGCTTCGAAAGTTTTTGCTACCTTAACTGTTCTTGATAACTTTGTATTTTTTTTGTAAGGAATCTTTGCACGCTACAGATTTTTTTTTTTGCTAAACTTTGAGGGAATTTGACTTTTCGTTATGCTCGTTTTTGTTGTAAGCGATTTATTGTAACTCGATATAACAATTTTGGTTAAAAGTCATAGTTCTTTTGACTTCTAGATAACGATTTCTCGATATAACGATTCCCATTCGCGATCCCGACAGAATTGTTATATCGAGGATTTACTGTATATCGAGCATTCGCATTAGTAGTTGCAAGTGTTTGAATGATCTTTAATCTTTAAAAATCTTTAAAATTATCTTTAAAAAATCAGCAATTAAAAGTTGAACAAATAACACTCTCAATTACATTAAATAAATGCTTTTCCCTTAAACGGATGGAGAAAAAGATTAAAAAAAACGTATTCTTTAGAAAACGAACGAAAAGAAACGATTAGAAAACGTATTATTTGAGATACTCTTTTGTAGTTGATGTACGCTTTGAGGAGAGCTTATAGAAGAGCTGATAGAAGAGCTGATAGAAGAGCTTATAGAAGAGCTTATAGAAGAGCTTATAGAAGAGCTTATAGAAGAGCTTATAGAAGAGCTTATAGAAGAGCTGATAGAAGATCTTATAGAAGAGCTTATAGAAGAGCTGATAGAAGAGCTTATAGAAGAGCTTATAGAAGAGCTGATAGAAGTGCTGATAGAAGATCTTATAGAAGAGCTTATAGAAGATCTTATAGAAGAGCTTATAGAAGATCTTATAGAAGAGCTTATAGAAGAGCTGATAGAAGAGCTGATAGAAGATCTTATAGAAGATCTTTCTCTAGTGTCACAGTCGAATTCTTTGAAATTTATGCTAAGCTAAGAAATTAGATATATTAGGTTGTCCAATAAGTAATGCGTGTTACTTATTTCGAAACTATTGCGAAATCGCTTCGAGCAAATATATGTTCTTTTTAATCATCAGCATCTTGTGTTCATTTTTATATATTATTTTATTTATTTGCCTTTGTTTTATAATAGATACGTTGCTTTGCAGATGAAAGACAAAAAGTTTGTTGTCCGCGCATCAATGCTGTATGATTTCAAACGAGGTAAAACTGCAGCGGATTGCCTATATGTGCCGCATTTGGAGAGGATTCAATTTCAATCAGCCAGTGCCAGCGCTGGTTTAAACGATTTGCGGACGGAAACGAGTCGTTAGAGGACGAGGAACGCGCTGGAAGGCCAGTCGTTGCTGACTTGTACTCTCAACAATTGGAAAGAGTGCAGCAAGCTCTTTGTCGTAAAGGAGAGGACACTTCGATGATTAAACTGCAGTTTGACAATGCTCGTCCTTTTGTTAATTTTGTGATATTTTGAAAATCGTGTCAAAACACGCATTACTTATTGGACAACCTAATATTTAGCGATAATGTTTACCTTTTTTCTCAAGCTTGTTTAAACAAAAAGAATTTTTTGTTATTATCTTGTATTCAAAACTTGTATTCAAAAAAATTGACTCATTTTCTTTTAGCTCAAAAATCTCTGATCTCAGCAGAAAGTTCTTCTCATAAATTTCTTTTTTTTTTTCTTCAAAAGTTTCTTTAAAGGTTCAAAAATCACTTAAATGTTCAATTTTCAAAAGCACTTTTCTCGAAAATACCTCAGAAAAAAAGATTTCAAAGAATGTTATTTGATCTTTTCGATGAAACAATTCCTCTGGGTGATGAGAAATCGCAGAAAAAAAAAATCCCACATTTCGCAAAGGTTTTAATTTGAAAGAACTTTTCAAAATAAAACCTACAATATTTATTTCATTGATTCATTGATTACGAATGGATTCAACCTGTATCGAGATATCGAAATACACGACGAATTCTTTCATGAAGTTCACCATTTCTTCACAAATTTTCTGTGCTCTTGTCTCAATTATTGGGATTTTCGGAACGTCTCGACGCATTTTCTCCTCAATTTTACTCGATTCTGCCTTCAAGAAACACTTATTTTTGTGTTATTTCATTCA